CATAATGACCAAGAAGTTCACCGGCGCAAAATGGCGTCCAATGTATGTCGAAGATCTGGTCATCGCAGAACAAAAAACCAGAGAAATGTCCTCCAAAATCCTTTCCGATGTTGTGGAAGCACTCATCGGCGCATGCATGGTCGATGGCGGTATTCCCAAAGCCCTCAAATCTCTACAATTATTCTTCCCCGAACTCGACTGGCTCCCTCTAGAAACCCGACAGATGTCTCTCTACCAACAAGCTCCCGATAACCTCAATCTCCCCATTACTCTCCGCCCCGTCGAACACATCCTCGGCTATACCTTCACCAAAAAATCTCTCCTTATCGAAGCCATGACGCACCCCTCCTACACCAGCGGCGCGCAATCCCTCGAGCGACTCGAATTCCTCGGCGACTCCATCCTCGACAACATCATCGTTACCGCCATGTGGTCCCACCCCGTCCCCCTCTCCCACTTCCACATGCATCTCCTGCGCTCCGCGCTCGTCAACGCAGATTTTCTCGCTTTTCTCTGCATGGAAATGAGTATCCACCAAAACATCACCCATCTCATCGAAGGAAACAACCACCACATCCACGAAACCCACTCGCGACGCCGCGTCTCCCTCGTGAGTTTCCTCCGTCACTCAAGCGTATCTTTCTCTATCTATCAAAAAGAGGCTCTGGCGCGCCACGCGGAATTGCGCGAACAGATTCTCGAGGTGATATATACTGGGGATCGATTTCCCTGGGCCCTATTATCGCGATTGGATGCGCGAAAGTTTTTCTCCGATATGATTGAGAGTTTGCTGGGCGCGGTATGGATTGATAGCGGGTCGATGGAGGTATGCACGCAGTTATTGGAACGAATGGGGGTACTTAAATACATGCGACGAATTTTGAAAGAAGGAGTGCGGATTATGCATCCGAAGGAGGAGTTGGGTATCGTGGCCGATGCTGAAAACGTCAAGTACGTTTTGCGGCGTGAGAAGATGGGCGGAGATGATACGAATGCGGATGATGATGCAGATGGAGAGGTGCGCGCGGAGTATCGGTGCACGGTATTTGTGGGCGGGGAAGAGATTGTAGAGGTGGGGGGCGGAGTGAGGAAAGAGGAGATTCAGGCGAGGGCTGCGGAGGAAGCGGTGCGAATTTTGAAGGCAAGGGGTCACGGGAGGGGGAATGCGGGGGAGGGGAAAAAGAGAAAGTTGTTTGATGGACAGAGGGTATCTGCAAGGGGAGGAGAAAACATTGAGGGGGAAGACAAGATGGACCTTGATTAATCCATTTCTTGACATCAGGTTACCAGTTGTGAATTACGGTTGACACTACTACTTGGGTATGTTTTCTTGGCTTATAGTCAATCACAAAATAGATTATCAAATGAGATAGTTATTTCGATTGCTTAATACTTAAAATTAGTTGAGTAAAATCTCAAAAATTCTGAAAAGCTTCCGAGCTGCTAAAAAGTCACCGGGACGAGAATATCACGAAGAAGCCAAGTCTTCACCTGGGAACTACCTAAGATCAACAAATGATCATCATGTTACACTATCATCTATGCGGTAATCATGCCAAGCGAGCCGCCAGTTCTTGGGGGTGGAGCGCTTGGAATAGGGGGCCGGATTGCCATATCCCTATCGAGATCTAGATGGTATCGATATGATACATTAATGCAATGAAGGTTTTGAAAATGATATTCCACCTGATTGATCATTATTGGCATGCACGTTCCTGCGGGATCATGGTAAATAATTGTAACATATAGTCTATATATTTAGTAGCTAGCAAGGAGACGAATAGTTCAAACGCATTCCGCCTTCTCTTTACCATTCTCCTTCTCGTGTCCATGTATCATAATTGCAAAGAAACGATGTTTCTTGGATTGTGCTAAGAGGTCTCCAGCTTCGACAGCCAATTGATAATCATCATGGCTTGAACCATTGCAACTTTTTCCCCATATCTTTCTCCGTCCGTACTACTTGCCTGTATTGTCAGATTCCAAAGTCGAAGGATATCCATGTGTTTGTCAGGGGCAATTCTGTTTAGCTCGTCTTGATACTTCCATATCTCCATATTTCCCTCATTACCGAATTCCTTTGAAACGCCGTAGGCAGTAGGACCAAGAAGAAGTATTGGAACATTGCGCTCAGCGCCGTTGGTGATACCTATCCACTCATTTATTGAATCGATGGAGAACTTCATATCGTGAGAATATTTATGGCCAAGAGAAAAGATAACCGGAGTAGGCCGCCAAGGATCTGGTTTTTGGTATGCTAATGACTTAAAGGTAGCTATAGCGGCGAACGAAGCAGGCGTGGTCGTGAATGGTATGTAAGCATGGGGAATTCCTAAATTTTATGTTAGAGTGCTGTCATACAGAATATTCAAATTACCCTTACTTTGACAAGCGTATGGGCTTCCTTTTGGATCATTCGCTTCATTTTTGACAACTTCCTCGGAGCTCTTCACAGAATATCCGAGACAATTGTTGTCCAAGAATTGAGCGTCGCATTTACATGCAATCCGCTCATCATCTGTCATCAACCATTCTTGGAGGCCGCCATGCGATATATCTTCTCTTAGAAACACATTGAGAGCAGCATATATAGTTTGCGCAGTCTCATCACCAAGGAAAACAATAGCGCTAAATCTTTCGAGTATCATGCATACTTCGGAAGTCGAAAACCATCGATATGTGCAACCTATCTCGATGAGCTGCATTCACAAACATGGGCAAAAGTGTATTCTCACCTTTGCCAACATATGGTTCATCGAATCCGTGTCTACCTCCACTGCTCAAAGCTTCGAGAAGTGTTGCTCTGTTTTTGCAGAAGGGTGAGACGTTGGATTTGGTGGGGTATGGTACATGGTAGATATCTGATTGTGTGATTCCACAGTCTTTGCTTCCTAGATACTGTTTGATGGCACTTCTCGTAGTTAGAATAGCTATATCCTTGCTCAATTGAAGATATTACCTCTCTCCAGGCTCAATCACCTTCGATTTAGATGAGACCACGACATTCTCAGATACAAACCCCTTGAATGGAGACCAGACTGCATAAATGAAGACAAATACGACTAGACATATGCCTCCGAGACGGTAGTTGCTTGAAGAAATCATTATCAGCTTAATTAAACTTAATTTATGGAAGATATTTGAAGCTGCAATTGACGATAATTTCATCGAAGGGGTCTTGTCATTCTGGTACAGTTGGGTTTTCGCTCAAGAAAGAAAAGAAAGATTGATGTTGAAGCGGGCAGATCAGCCAGCGGGTAGTTGCATCTTCCTGATTGAGTTATCAAATCGCTCTTTCCCCGTTTGTTGTTTTTGTGACACGCCAAAAGGTCGTCATGTTTCGTGGTCGAAGATATCAAATTCATACTTTCGATAAGGAATATGGTTTAACAGAAACAGCCAAAACTTTGGATGCTCATTTCATATACCGGAATTCCTTCATCCTTCTTTCTTCAATCTTCATTCTCTGTTCTCGATATGCTTGTTTTCCATTCTCTAGTTTTGATCAGGTCGATCTTGCAAAATAAAGTAGAAATATCAAACTGTACCAAGTCGCTCTTTACATAGAGCGACTTCGATGCAAGTCCTGAATTCAATACTACCTCATCTGTCTTTTGCTCTTTTGCTCTCTTGCTGTTTTGAAATTCGCAGATCATATTGGCGTGAGAGTCCAGACTGTAGATGTGTCACGTGTTTCATGCCCCTCCACTCATTTCGACTTATCCATCTCCACATCAGATGGAACCTCAGAAGAGCCCAAGGAAAAGTTGAGAGAATAAATATGAATTCCAAGACTCAGCTCATTCACAAAGTAAAAGTTTATCTGCCTACCAATTTCTTGTCAATTTCTTGTCAATTTCTTGTCAATCCCTTGCTATTTATTTTCTCCGCCAATGACAATTGTCAGTATCCTTCCCGCAGGTATCCGTAAGATTGAGTTTTCCGGATTGGTCCATGGTTTAACATCCGAGGTAATTGTCGATGCTTGATGTATAGAATATGGCGACATGCATGTTGCGAAAGGAAGATTGACATCTTCTTCCCAAGATTATTAGGTTGACTCAGCTGTCAATGCCAATAGTGCAATACCAAGAATATATAGTAAGACGGACACAACATAAGACCATTCTAAGCAAGACTGCCGTATAGGAAATTGAGAAGATCGTCGTGACTCTACACACCCATAGCGTCTATTGTCATTTTGCAGGTTTTCGGCTAGAAACGAGCAGGACACAGTATGTATGTACCTAGTATAGACGGTGTAGTTGAAGATGGTGTATGTTGTTGAACGTGATGTGTAAGTTCAGCAAGCCAGAGAAAGATCCGAATTACCTTTCTAGCAAGGGCGGGGAAATGCTCAATGACAAACAGCGTTGCAACGTGGGTGATATATGGTGCATCGTCGGTAAGGTTATCTCGGTCGTTCGGAAACAAGGGGGATGATGGAGGAGCTTTCGGTACTCAGAGACACACATCCATACAATACATACATACATACATACATACATCCATATATCCATACATGCCTAGCCTTTCTTCCATTTGCTGCAGATTATCTTGTACCAGTAATATAGCACTTTTTTATACGATGAGAACTTGACTATTTTTCATCTAATCATTGTACATGTGCACACGATCAATTTTCAATTAGAGAAAAATAAGATTTGCATTTGTTTGCAAACAATCAATTGATAACGATTTCTTTCTTCCTTCTCTCTATCTCTCCCTCCTTACCTATCTTTACTATTTCCAATTGTCAATTCACCAATCACCGCCTGCGTTTTGCCTCGGTAGCATTTGGTTAGCTCTGCGTCATCTGAGTAAAGGTACTCACTCAACTCCCAGGATATCACGAACGCGGGGAGAAAACTCAACAATTATTCAAACATCGTAAAGATTTCAATCCCGCCAACGACACCTCATGTTAGACTGAAAGACGAGATATTTGAAGGGGTTAAGATCACATTTTAGGGGCCCTAGGGCCAAAGGAATTAAACAAGATGTCGTGGAAGACAACTGAGATGTTGATGGATACCATCAAACATTATTCACACTTCCCAGCTACGGGTGTGAGTCTGAGGCAGATGGTACAATTTGGAGAGAGGCCATCTACAGGTAAGCTATTAGATTATATTCTAGGGACTAGGGGGGGGTTCTGCCATTGTTCCTAAGCTAATAAAGTATTGCTCCACGAACAGGTACACTTTTCCGAGCATCACAATTCCTCTCTGAAGAACTACCAATACGACTTGCGCATCGAGTGCAAGAACTATCAGACTTACCAGATGGCCTCAATGAGATGCCCTCCATCAAGAGGGTGAAGGATTGGTATGCACAGTCATTTGAGGTATGATTCTTTATCCACCCACAAATGCCGACGTGAATTGACATGTGAAAGGAAATTACCACACTCCCTCGACCACAATTATCATCAGATGTTAAGGAAAGACTTATGAAGCCTGCGAAAATAAATGGAAAGCAATCCAAAATTCTTGCCGAAGCAACACAAAACCCGAGCGTAATGAGGGGCCAGTACAGCTCTAATGGAAATGGAAAAGAATCAAAGTCAGCCGCAGCAAGAAGATATTTTGCCACAGTAGAAGATAGTACAGACTGGCCCCCAGAGCTTCATGATTATAACCAGAGATTTGCACAAACCCTTAACCACATCAAGAGGCGGCACGACGGAGTTGTCACAACCGTTGCGCAAGGAATACTCGAATATAAGCGGAAACGGCAACGCATGCAGATCGACAATAACATACAATCCTTCCTTGACCGTTTCTACATGTCCCGTATTGGCATAAGAATGCTGATTGGACAACACATAGCACTCACAGATCAAAGTCACGATAAAGATCCTAATTATGTAGGAATTATATGCACGAAAACCAATGTTCGAGATCTTGCGGAAGAAGCAATCGAGAACGCTAGATTTGTCTGCGAAGACCATTATGGACTTTTTGATGCGCCAAAGATTCAACTCGTGTGCCCTCCAAATCTCCATTTTATGTATGTACCGGGCCATCTTTCGCATATGCTCTTCGAAACTCTCAAAAATTCCCTTCGAGCTGTTGTCGAAACACATGGACAGGACAAACAAGATTTTCCCGTCACAAAAGTCGTCGTTGCGGAGGGAAAAGAGGATATTACCATCAAAATCTCGGACGAGGGTGGCGGAATACCTAGAAGTTCTATACCTTTAGTTTGGACCTATATGTATACCACCGTGGACAGTACACCCAGCCTAGATCCAGACTTTGATAAGAGTGATTTCAAAGCTCCAATGGCAGGATTTGGTTACGGTCTCCCAATTTCAAGATTATATGCTAGATATTTTGGAGGAGATTTGAAGTTGATTAGTATGGAGGGGTACGTTTGACAACTTTTTCTTTAATATTCCTTTTTCTACAAATATGCAATGAACTAACCAGCACTACTACGAAATAGCTACGGAACAGATGTATACCTTCACCTAAACCGACTTTCCTCGAGTTCGGAGCCTCTCCAATAACAATCAGCAGTCATGAGGGATACCTGGAAAACACAGTCCCCTCCCGATATTGGCGGCGCGCGCTCAAGGGGGGGAGACGGTATATCCCGAGGATTGACGCTGGGTCTAGGACATAAACAAATGAATTTGAAATTAGGCAAAGGAAAAGCAGGAATGGGAATGCGAGAGGTTTCGGAACGCAAACAAGTCGGTGATGCGGAAAGTATGATTAATGAGGGAAGAGGAGGGAGCGGAATGGAAGGAGTTTTTATGGGTGAAGGGGGGGAGGTCTAGAGAGAGAGAGAGCGAGAAGAGAGAGAAAAAAGAATATGGTGTTGTAGACAAGAAAAGAGGTGTGAAAACTTGCGGCGATACTAGATTGAGCGGGTTTAGATCGGATAGCATGGGATGGGATGGGTGGAATAGGGGAAGAAACAGAAATGATGGAGTTGGTTGGAGACTTTTGTATATATTTGGATATGCACAACACTGTGTTCATGTCCCTTTCGTCATGAAACGTGGATGATTGCGAACCTCGAAACTTCGAAACTTGAGAGCGAGAGCGAGATGCGCACAAGAATGAGGATGAGAATGGGCATGAGAATAAGCATGAGATTGGGTGGATGGCTGGCTGGCTTAATTTATATGTTACGTATGTACCTAGGTATGGATGGTATGGTATGGTATCGATTATGAATAAAATAAAGTAAATGAGATAAGATGAGATGATATACTATAGAAGATGAGGAGATGAGATGGCGTGTGACGATGTGATGATTTAATGAGATATATTAGTTTGAATTGCATTGGATTGGATTGATATGATATATGGAAGGAGAAGTTGTGATACAGGTGCCTAGTGATATCGATATATATATACATGGCTCTCTCTATATATATATTTACATATACATTATATAAATAAAGCAGAAAGCAGAATTTCCTTATATCCACCCTCTCTCCCCCCTCCATCCTCCATCCATTCATCCATCCATTCATACATCCCCCCTCTTCTCTTTTTTATTTCCTCTACTCGCTAGCTAGCTAGCCCCTCGCCTCTTCCCAGACCTCCCTCCCAGAACATAACATCCATCACCCATAAATAAAATCATCGCATGCCGAACCCCACAGCTATATGTATGTAGGTATGCATACTATAATATAACACGATATAACACGATACAAACTCCGCATCCCAACACACACAAATGACATCATATCCATCCATCCATTCACATCGCATCACACTAAATCAAATCTCAAATTCAGAAAACCCGAAACCAAAACCCAAAGCCAAAGCCAAAGTCAAAAAACATAAATCTCATAAAATAAATTCTGATAATGGTATCGTACTTGCTAACCTGCATAACCCTAAGAACCTCAACGCTAAAAGACAAAAACACATACATCCAATATGAATTGATAATGTTACCAAGAAACCATTCCATTCCATTCCATCCCTTTCCTAGCCCCTAAATATTCAAAATCCAAAAGTCCATTTCCTAATTCCATATCTTATCCCTATCCTTTGCCTATAATAGAAGCGAGAACCAGTGATTTTCCAGATCCAAAAACGACCGCATCCAAACATAAAGTGACAACGTCAATATCAATCCATAAACTTCATCTCTCATCTTTCATCATCATATGATATCATATCATCAATAAAAAATCATTCGTTAATATAATCCCCAGAAGTTTCAGTACTTCCCCCACGATACATCAGTAATACATACTATTCCTCATACTCTTATCCAGCCCACTACCTCGATACCAATCCTCGTAATCAGCGCCAACTGTGGGTTCCATATACGAGCTCCTAGTTGTGTGTTCGCTATATGCGGAGCCCGTAGATTTAGTGGGACGATCACGGTCATAATCGCTACTTCTTGAATCTAGTCCTTCGTGTAACCTATCCCATTTCTCGGCATCTCTCGGACTTGAGAAATCATTGATATGGGTAGTACTTGAGAAACGATCATCTTCTGCTCTACGGTGAGACCGGTCATCACGTCGCCTATCTCTCGAGTCCCGAATATCTGAAGAAGGTGGCGGAGGGAAGGAATTAGTCGATCCATATGAAGAGGGTGCGAAGGCGGGTGGGAAACTGGCGGGCGATGGCACATAAGTACTGGATCCATTATCAATATTGGTAGGTGTTGAATGACTGTAGCTTTTGAATTGAGGGCTACGACTGCGTTTCGAAGACGAGAGTGGCGGTGGCTTATAATTATCCTGGCTTGCATTACTTTGCCTACGGGTATGTCTTGACCGACTACGCTCACGTTCTTGCGGTTCTTTTACGCGACTAGTAGAATTCGCCCGTCCAGGCCTGTTTGGGAAATTAGGATTACTGGTTTCGGTGTGAGTCTTGCCACTACCAGGCTGGGCGGAATATGGTTTTCTTTCGCGTTCAATCGGTACACTTGGTCCCTCGTCGACGCTTGACGACTCAGATGGGGCCGAAGGGGCTCCAGCATAAGGCATGCGTTCTCGTTCTATAGGCTTGCTAGTGGGGCCTGTGTATGAGGAGGCCCTAGGTTGAGGTGTATCATCAGAACGGGATTGCGATCGATCAGTGGGTGATGTCTGACGAAGTGGTACGCTCGAGGTTGTTGGCTTGCTTCTGCTGCTGTTATGAGAAATCCCAAGTTCATCAGAGAAGTGAGATAATGAAGTCCTCATAAGTTTCTCCAATTCACGATCCCCGGTGTTAGGTAACAAGTGGCGTGATATCTGTTTTGGTAAACGTTCCGGTTTTCCATCTACCATTTGCCCATCGGCATTAATCGGTAAAGCTAGGACAACTTTTCCTAACCTCTCGGATTCTTCGCTAGGATAAGCGGAAATCTGAATCGTCATCCAATGTGCAAATCCAAGTGGAGTCAAGGCCGGTATCGTAGGAGCCGAATGGAAATCTTCTTGGACGAGGTGATGTTGACATCCAAGATCTTGGTATAGCTTCGATATCTGTGTATTGGACAAATTTTTGAAGATAGCTAGATCTGTGAGCACGGGTAGAGCTAAGGTATAGATTGGGAAATCTTACAAACATATGGATGGATTTCCTTGGTGTTAATCGGGTACGAGCTATAATATGTTGCCATTTTCGAAGGTGTAATCACAATACTCCTTTTGGGCGCAAAATCATCGACCTGTGAAAGGTGTCAGTAGGACATTTGACATAGCCTCAGATTGGAATGAAAATAAAATGATTCGGCGGAAGCCTTGTCACACCGAAATGCCTCGTCGAAGGATAGGAAGACTAACAATATGATTCGCAAGTCCTCTCAAGAACTGTCCCAATCGTTCCGTAGGCCGAGAATCATTATCGAACAATCGACCCCATTTTTGATCAATTGTAGATAATTCCAAGGTCGAGTATGTGCGGTGAACTTTCTGCGCCGGTCGCTCATTATAAACACGATCACGATCACGATCACGGTCATTAAACCTCCCGGAAGGTTTGTCCGAGGAAGGACTTGCTGGAGGAGATCTCATAGGTTCTGTAGGTGGAGGGGAAAAGGTTGGTTTGGTAGTGGAAGTTGGTGAAGGAGGAGTGTAAACTCTGCGGTTATCTAGAGGGGGAGGAGATTGATTTGTAGAGTTGGATTTCTCAGAATATTCGCGTTGCATATATGAGGCTCGCGGTTGGTCATCAATGGAGCCTGTTTGCTTCAGATGTTCGAAGACTAAGTGAATAGGTTTCAGTAAGCATGGGCGACTGGTGAGGCTCAACAACGCTCAAAAATGACAAACATGCAACGAAGAGAAGTACAACATATACTCACGTTCTCTTTTGACCTTTTCCGTGATTGCGGCAATTATCTCCGGCGATACTGCATCGTGATCTACAGCAGTGCCACGGTCGGAGCCATATGATGTTCCCATATTATTATTGTTTGATGGGTATGACTGTTGTGGTGAATGTGGTGGTACACTTGATGTGCTTTGGGAAGCATAGGGTGAATCTCGAGATTCGGTAGGATATCTATTCGAGGTCGAGGGGATTGAATAGGCAGGCATATGCCTGTTGGGATCATTGAAATTGTAGGTCTCGTAGGTCTCATAATCATATTCCGGCCCTGAATCGCCTCGTAGAGGGCGACCATAAGCGTCAAAATGGGCCATCTTCAAAGGCGAGGCTATGTTATTTTGGCGTTTGCTACTTCATAAAGGTTGAGTGAGGGGTTGAGTTTCGGCTTGGTATATGTTATTCTTGTGTCTTATACTATGCTCGTGATTCGAATGGAAGATGAGGTTGGATTTGACACAATATATGATCCACGGTTTGTAAGACGAGATATTCAATTTGGGATTCGAAAGCTCTGAGTCTGAGGTTATGTATGGTGGGGGATGTCACCGTTTCTCAATATGTGCAAAAGCTTTATTGGGAAGATGTGAGAAATATCTCGAAGAAAGTCGTGTCGTCCCCAGTTTCCGATGAAGTTAGCTAGGTAAGTCAGTCAGCTCCATACAATACCTTATCACTAGGTACCTACTCGGTGCAGGTGCAGAATCCGATGCAGAGCGGAAGAAACAAAAGAAAACAAGACTTTTTTTTACTTCAGATACTGCAATGCAAGTCGAGCAAGGACTCTTCTCTTCTGTCGCTATACGTCCAATCACATCCTAGTCTATGGCTTCCATTGGCTTATTTGGCGTCAAGAGTCCCACGAGATAATTTCCAACATACATATATATCGGGCAACGGCTATGCGGAAAGTTGTTTTTTCTTATTGTTTTACTCATCAATAAATGGATGGATGGGTGGATGGGATGGGTGGATGAATGAATGCCCAAAGTTCGAGAGCAGACCTGGGCACAAAAATGTATTTGATACAACGATTACGATTACGATTAGAATTGAGATCTACCAAGATGACATACTAGGTAGACAAAGCTCAGTCAAAATACAAAATACGAAATACAATACTTTGTATTGTATCGTACATCATCATCATAGGTGGTTTTGGCATTATATATAAAATTCCTTGTACATTTCCTACTCACCTACCTAGCTAGCTAGCTAGTACTTATTATAGCTAGTAGGTACATATACTTTACCCAGTTTATCTACTCCGTATCTATATTTATATATACTCTCTAGTTACAACGGCGTAAAAGAATCTTGATGACGCAAATCACAATTCATCAATTGATTCATCCAAGATTACTCGTACAACGTAGAAAATTTCATGGGTGATCATCATCGACATCATCATCACGCAACATGTTATTCTCCAGCATCACCTCTCATAAGTCAATATAGGATGATCCCTCTTTCAAACTCCTTCTTCGGGAGTTCTCCTCATTGAGTTTCAACCGAACAGGCTTCTACTTCGTAAGTCTTATCGTTCCGACTACCTACCAACACCAACTCATCCTCTAGTTCATCGCCTCCCCTCCCTCACTGGTCTCCAAACCCATCTAAGCCAATCTCCATCCTTCATGATGACAAAGCTTCCTCTCCATTATCCATACTTCCCGTTGACTACGCATTAGCTTTCCACTCTAACAATCCAACCAGTGAACAACTGAAATCATCACACCACTATCTGATAAAGTGACCACGTTTACACCCACTAATAATGACCATCGTCCCTGAACTAACAATTAGACTGGCTCACTGGTCCATTTCTCCATCTCTAGTACATCATACTACAGAGCTCTGTACATAGTACGTACTAGGTACATACATACATACATACATACATACATACATACACATCAACACAGCACTACTGTAACAATCTTAAACGAGAATTAAAGTAGGGGTACTCGAGTAAAGGAAGTAAATTATTCATAGGGCTTTCATAGGGCTTTTTAGCTGTCTAATTAGTATGTATCTATCTATCTATCTACGTAGTATCCAACTTTATCAACCCACAATCAATTCAATTTCAATTCTCAATTAATCTTTTTAAATCAAATTCTACGATAGATATTCGATCTCCAATTCTCACACACTCTCTCATCCCATCCACACCTCTTCCTTCCCCTCGCTCCCCCACCAAAATCCCATCAAAACAGGGCGTAGCATAATGTAGCACACCAATACCACAACCATAATAATACAACACACATGAATATCTTCCCCGCGCCACGTTTCACTCTGTTTCAATTCATTTAATTCATTCAATTCAAACCATTGATTTCATTCAGAAGGCTACCTACCAGTACAATACAATACAATACAATACAATACAATACAATACAATAATCATCATCAACATACCATAACATACCCTCCCATAACCCAATTTCCCTCCAATTCGTCCATCCACATCCAACGACCTCATCCTCTATCCTTCATCACATACTAACATAACAAATCCATCCCACCCACTTACACTCACACTACATTAACCCACAATCATCACATTCCCCATACATACATACATACATACATACATACATACATACATACATAATATGAGTAACCTAAAAACCAAATCACCACGAAAACTCTCCTGTTCCATCTTACATTATATCATCTAACCTTTCATATCATATCAATTCAATCGCAATATCAACAAAAAAAACTAATAAAATATGTAAACATTCTATCTACTCATCTAACCTTTTATACCAAATCTCACATCTCACATTCAACATCTACAGCCACCACCCAATTCCTACATCCAAACATTCCCGAGGTCATATACACATAAAAACAACCACAACCTTCCAACTCTTATTTCATCCCATCTTATCCTATCTCACTCTCATCCTCACCCTCATCCTCGCTCTCATCCCCACTCTCATTCTCATTCTACACTTCACACACCCGACCCATCCGCACTCCCACAACTCAAAGTATCTCAATCCCCAATTCCCAATTCCCATTGTATATCTCTCTCTCATCCCATCCCATCCCATTTCATTCACACCAACACATCCCATAGTTACTCACTCATACTCCAATCCTAATGCACCCTCCCCTCTTCCCCTCTTTCCCCAATCCCCCAACCCAACGCATCATCACCCCTCCAAAAACTAACATAATACAAACAAAACCACAACCTTCCAGACAAATGAAATGTATACAAATCAACATCCACCCACCACAGATACAAACATATCCAAACACATCTAAACGTATAATCTCCTCTCCATCTCGGTATTCCCCAAGCTTCCCATGATGAAATACTACAACCACTCTATCGTCTACCTACCTAACAACCTAACTTCTAAGTCTTTAAATTAGACTCCCTCCATGAAAACTAGTCAGCCAATTCTGATAGTATAGGAATGTTCCCATGGAAGATCGAAGATTAGGTGGCAACTTTGTGTTACCTATCGTTATACATCCTAAGGATGAAACCTAGGATAGCTATTGTCTCATCCTTGAGAAATCATCCCATTGAAAACTTATATCAAGAGGGCTCATTGAATATGAACTAAGGAAACACCGAGGCCTGAGAGAACTTCTGTAACGAACAGAGCATACAACAGCATATAACACTTCATTTGTAAACAACCCACTTGTATTAACTAACTAAAGCAACGTATTGCCAATAATAAAGCTCGCTTGCCAGAATCTCTAGTCGAAGCCAAAGCCAAAGCCATGAAACCACCACATGTTGTGTACGGAGCCCGAGAGCAACGACAACGTTAAGAGTGTTCGGGGAGGATATGGCGAAGCTAGTATGTATCTGTGGAAAAGAAAATCAGTTTTTTGATAGAAATTCGCTCACTCAATTAAGAAGCCTCAATTTAATAAAAAAATCATAAAGTCGTGGCAAGTGTTCTATCCTCCGCAAGAAAACATGGTGCCCGGGGGAGCAACCGAGGAGATGCGCAGGCTTCGAACCTTCCAATAGTCATTTCATTCACATTTCATCATCGCTGGAGTCGTAGGCCGATCTGCGGTAACCCTCATTCGACTCTGGAGCCCATGCAGTGACAGTACCTGGATTGGCTGGTTGTGCAGTACGAGTGCCGATCTGAAAGTAAAAGTTTTATTAGAATATCTGATAACATTGCAAAAAAGAAAAAGTGATAGAGCCGAAAGAGTGAAACCAAACATTCATGTTAAGAGACTTACAGGCTTAGCCCAACCAGTGGATGGGTTAACAACCACACGAGGAGCTGTGACAGGTGAAGAGCGAGAAGCAGTGGCGGCTGGACTTTGAGTGACTGGACGAGCAGCAAGAGCGGGACCGCTGGCAACAGAAGTTACGCTGGATGCACCAACAGCCGAAGTAGCTCGAGAAGTCAAGGTCATTGCCTTTTCTTGATGATGGCGTACTCCATTGGCATCATATGCGTTGTATTGTATGGCAGGACCTGCACGACGTCTTGAGTCGCGAGTAGACCATCCATCTGAACTAGATTGAAGATCTGCTGTACGAGCACCTTCATAGGCATTACTCATAGATGATTGCGAGCGATTCTCAATTTGACTGCCAGCAGCTACTCGCAGATGTGGTGGCAGCTGGGAACCGTTTGAAGTGTTGCCAAGGGACAGCTGTAAAACGTTGATCAGTATGCCATAAATCACTTAGGGCTCGAATGCCACCCTCGGGATCGATGTATTCATCTGGTACAATAAAATTGAGGCTGGAGATACTTACACTCGTCATGCTCGCAGCATAAGAAGAACCTGTTGTGGGCTCGGGCGCATCACCGGTTGTATCAAGCTGCTCTAGCTCAGTGCCAGGAGCAGGTGTCGTAATGACTTCGGGATGGTGTCCTTCCTTCCATTGAACACATTCCATGCACCACTATAAACAACACGTTAGTCATTACACGCATGTAGTAGAAGCCACTTGTGGAAATTTTGCATATTCACCCCGTTGCCCCTAGATCTCTGAGACTTGCTAAACTGGTCCAAAGATTTCCACTTAGAGCATGGCCCCTCGCACTGGCGCTCAGAGACTTGTCCGCCCTTGCAGCCAATGCATCGTAGAAGTGATTTTACAGGGTCGAGTGTCATGCCCGGATGTTGAGCGTATTGATTTGCGTACGAAGAAATCTCTTTCTTTGAGAAGCAATCCTTGGTCTTGAGAATATTGCAATGGCGGCATTTGAATTTGAAGCTGTAGACAGTTGTGTCAGCGAGCTCCACGAAAGATAGCATGAAGAGAAGAATCATCTGTCGACGCGTGCGTATTTGACGTGCATGATGAGTATCGTTTGACTTACTTAGCTGGAATAACGCCTGCGCGCCTACAATTTCCGATTAGCTCGAACACACAGCAAGATTTATTGGAATACACACTCAGCAGCAGGAGTATAACGGTTGTTGCGGAATGACATCTTGAGTAGAAATTGACGAATAGATGTCACGGAGCGTGCTGATAATCGTGGAAGATAATCGAAGTTTAGGCTAAGCTTGACAATATTATGGGCCCTAATAATAAATTAGAAAATCTGCATAGGGTCTGAGATTTGATATTGTAATTTGTGAACTTAGTCAGTTTACTTTCTGATTTAATCTCCAGAAAAGGTGAACTATGGGAAAAGTTGTGAATTAGGACTCGAACAAGACAATCAGTCTGTTTGTATAAAGAGCAAAAGAGTCTGTGGAATGATTTGGATGCTCTCAAAGCTCGAGATGAATATAAGATAGATGAATGCTTGAATATAGCTACTCACTTGTTATCGTAGAAATATTGCTGTATGGGCGTAATACGTCCCGTTGTGAATTGTGAAGTGGGATGAAACGATGCTGAACGAAGGCTGCCTTGAAAGATCGGTTAAGAATCTGCAAATATGGCGCACAACTCGAATTTTAATCTTTATCAAGTTGAAGATTATCCAACGTATCAGAGGTTGATTTTGAATTTATGTTTTGAAGTAATATCAGTAGAAAGAGAAGGAGTTTAGTGGTGAGAGAAATGGAGTTGTTTTTGAAAGAAGGTTGAGAGACGATAGGAACTCTTTTGTAGCTGGTTGGTGTGCAGGCATCCGATCTATCTGTATCAAATGAGTGAATATGGAAAGAGGGGGAGGTAGTTTAGAAATTATGAGGAGGAGGAATATCAAGTTACCTCTCTCTCTCTCTCTCTCTCTCTCTCTCTCTCTCTCTCTCTCTCTCTCTCTTTCTCTCTCTCTCAAATGAATTTCCAAGCCTAAACTGAAAGCACCAAGGTAACTCTGGGTAGGTATTGCACCTTCCTTCAATGAACACCCGTCTGATATTTGAATTTCATCTCTTCAAACACCACGGTTTCGTTTGCTCGCTCGTTTATTTGTTTGTTTGTTCACATCTGCTAGGCACCCAAGTACTCATGATTTGGTTCATGCGCCAACGGGAACCTGCATCAAATCTAACCTGGAGCTTCATTTAGGTTGAGATCTTGCTGTCAGAGTTTTGAATTCTGCGCGCCATAGTTCATACACGTCCTTTCATATTCTACCTTTTTTCTTGTAGTCTTTCTAATTTGGATTCGCAGTACTTGCGTGATAGATCGAATGCTTGAATTTGGTTCCGCACAAATGATGTGATGACTATCAACATACACACGACTCGCAAATGGAGGCATGATGGGAATATGTTTCATCTCATTATGATCTTACAATAATGGAACGGTCTCCGAAATTTTGACATGTATTCAAATTGTCACCATGAAAGCGCCACTCTAGGTAGGTACCTGGGTACAACCAGATTGCAAAATACGACAGACAAGTAGAAATGTTATCATATACCAGAGCTCGATTTCGCAAGTTACAAATGCGCAGTTCCTTGCGAAGAACATCGATGATGCCAGAAACCTCCCACTCACTGATAACATGATATTTGAAGGTCTTGCAGTCACTTGATTGCCAGCTATCGCTACTAGCAATTCATCCTTGGCTTCATGGTACAGATTGGCAGACACAGCCAGTGCTGGGTGCCCATGGCTGAAGAATACTGTCTTCTCTACACATCAAACTTCTTCCTCCATATATCGACCTACTTTCAAACCGTGTGCAGTCATTCGTCACTTGTTGAAGAGTCATCATCAAATTTCATCATCTCATAGTCAGGGGCAATGTCCTTGTTCGACCTATACTTTGATCCTCTGCGATTGCAGAAGGATTACAGATCTTGAGAGTTCAAAATACTCGGTTGGTTCTAGTGCTGACTCTTGCATCAGATCCTATTCATTACACCAAATGGTTTCTTTTTGAATGAGGCCGAACGAGACCGATGAAGAGTCAGCTTTCATTTTGAATGCAGAATCTTTCATCAATGACCTAGCAGAGAAAAAGCGGTACGAAATATTATGCTTCCCCCAGATTTTTCATCCTATATCACACCGCTCAGCTCGCATATGCAAGCAACCGTTAGACTTGCGCTATCCTTCCAGCCTCGAATGAGACCCGATAGTGTGGATTACGGACAGGGTGAAACGTGTCAATCAGGATCTTCAGCGGAAGAAGACAAAACTAGCCCATTACCAGATATGCGAGGATATAGCAGCTAGCATGGCTTCGATATGCCCTCTTTGTTTTTTCCCTACCGTAAGGTCGCATCCTTCCCTATGGCATGATTATTTTTTGATCACGTTACATCAAAGAAGTCCGGGCACCACAATCAATCATGCCAATTCAACCGTACCATTCTGCAGGCGTTTTTTTTGTGGGATACAGATACAGGGGCATCATTCAGGGTCATTATCGACCAATATGACGATGAATAGACTCTACAGTTTTCACACATTAAAACCTGACTCCCAGCCTCCCAGCCTCCTCGAACAAATTTTCAAGCCAAAAAGCGTGCCGGCCCATCGATAGCTTTTGGAACCGTCGACAGCGGAAGCCGGGAGAGCTAAAATCGTAGACTCAGAAGACCACGTGTAGTGGGGAATGATACCCGAACCATATCCACAAGAGCGGGCAAGGATAGGGTAAGTTAATCGTAAAGACTAAGACAAAATGGGCTGTCAACTGTCACTTTGTCAAAAGTCTGAAGAAGGTTTTTCAAAATGGTAAAGAGAAGAAAGGGGCGCGCGCGGATGGTGTTACTGATGCCCATTGGGACGGGTATACTTCGTATAAAGCCACAGATGAATGATAACTAGATAGGCAGATAAAAATCTTACATGAAGCACGATGTATCAAGTGAAAGATTGCAACAAAGAGGCCAAAATAAACACAGTCAGTCCATTTGCCATGTTCATTTTCATTTTTTTCATGAATCCATGATACGCGCAGTCAGCTTCCGTCATGTTACTTGGGGAGAAGTAAAACATTCCCAGGCTGGATGCTTGGTTGAATTAGGTCAGTGTAATGGATTGCATACACAACATAGGGTGCACAAAACACCACTAGATCATCTTGTCTTTCATTAGATAGTTTCTTTTTGCCAAGGCCATAGCGGTATGAGAGTCCTAATTCTCTGAATCTTATCCAGTTAGGCATGTATACAACGAGCCTACTCCCGGACAGTCTTGCATTGATGGCACGAAACCCGATTTAACATGTATACGGCGTAGGCATGGGATTATATGGAAGATTTATACACGGGGCGGCGAAACACGACTCACGAATGGTCCAGATGATAAATTATGAGATATATTAGTGGAGTGGAGTGATGATTTATGACTGTACGCATTGTTCACCAATGGAGCAGGCATTAATAATATGAATCTTCCGACATTTTCTTCTCCCAACTTCCCACTTGTTCTCCGAGGGTGACGGGAGTTCCCCTATTTTTTGAGAAAAAAACTCTAACTGCAGGTGTAGGTAGGTATTCCCGATCAACATATTTGATCAAGTAATAAGTGGTGATATTTATTTGACATGTGCTCGTCCTTGATGGTCACAGCCCCAAAGCTATGCTTAAGTCCCAATTCTTCTAAGTATATTTCTAGAATAGCCACTGCAGAATCGGCAGTTGTTCCAGCGTGGCTTTGACACCGAAATGCACCTACGTGTGTGAATGGCTGGTGATAAAAATAAAGATTTTGTTTGGAACCTGTCATTGCAGTGCTGGGGACGCTAAAATGAAGGGGGCAGGTAAATGGTTACCCTAAATTGGGAGTGTAGCATTTAGACTCTGGAGCAGACAAAAAGAGGTTACGGCGAAATAAAATGAATGGTGATGGATGGAGGACTAAATAAGTTAATACAGAGTTGATTTGATTTGATTTGATTTAGTATAAATATAAATGGTATAATATGAAGAAGAGGAAGTGAAGAGTAAAACTGCATGACTCGAGGAGGCAAGGGCATATTTACGGTATTTGTCTGTACGATTGATTACGGAATTACGGAATAAGCACTGCTATCGACTCAATAGAACAACGGCTGCATTTTTCCCTCTCACCTGTACCGTATGGAGGAGGATTAGCCTAGTCAGTATCATAGGAAAGGTTAGGTACGGTATGGTATGCATTGACAATCCGAGTTTGGGGAGAAATATGGGAATGGAATCGGAATGAATCAATCAATCAGTGTAATCCAATCCCATCTCATCCATCCATCCATCCATCCATTTATCGAAATAAGTAAGCTTTGATGCCATGGTGATGGATTTTGGGTTTGGAGGGATGTGGTCGATCTGTAATTACAGATGGTCTTGTGATAATGATATGATACCCAAGTATGAAGTGGGTTGGTTAACTGGTTAACTGGTTAACTTTCTGAATGGCTTCCAATTACTTACCGTACTGTGAGTTCACCGGGTGGTCTGCAACTGTGGAGGGTTCACTTGACTGGAATGGAAGTCTTTGAATTAGAATATCTCTGGCTGAACTCAAAGATACTGACTGCTAGGTAGGTAGGTAATTACCACCGGGGCAGAGAGTAGTATTTTCAGGGCGGATGTTAAACAAAGGTAGCTAGCTAGCTAGCTGGGTAGGTAGGTAGGTAGTTATCGGAAGTCAATCTTGACACCTCAACCACTAAGCTGCTCTAGAAAGCGAAAGCTTCAGAAACTTTCACGATTCATCACACTTCACACTCTCTTCTCATTTGCCTCCCACCTCTCAAAGTCACATCCAACACAACACCGCACAACTTGCCTTTCCTTTCCTTTCCTTTCCTTTCCTTTCCTTTCCTTTCCTTTCCTTTCCTATCAGTGTCACCCTCCAACGCCTCGAATTTCATCGCGGCCTCACATTCTTTGGATCTGAACCGTATCATCGTATTGTACTTGCTGATCCCAAGAGAAAAGGCTCCTCCTTCGTGTGCACATTGATCATGATGGTTATTGAATTGTACATCATGAGATACTAGCTCAGTGCAATTGAGGGGGTTTCCTCTGCCCTTTTTGATCTTCTTCTGCATATCTAGGTATCTCTCGTTGGCTTCAAGAAAAACACTAAACACAATACACAAAACAATTAATAAAATGGCCCATCCATCATCCACCATCCATTATTTCCATCGCAATCCACTATTCTGATTCAAGAATCAAAACCCTTTTGACTTTCCTTTAATATAACCTCAATTGATTGGAAAGAGAAGAAGAAGAAGAAGAAGAAGAAAAGAGGACCCAAAGGCCGCCCCGCCTCTAAAGCCCCTCTTCATTCATTTTTCTTTACATCAAGATTCAATAATCCATTGATAATCCGTGGGCCATACTCGTACATGACAGAGAGATATTACTTGAAGTCGTTAGGTACTTCGAGGTATCAACTTCCCCGGGGCCACCAAGGGCCATTGATTATTGAATTAATCCGCATTCTCATCGAATCAGCATAATCACACTCTTTACTCGGCCGCTGTGTTGGCATCACAAGAAGCAATCGAAACTTTTTAGCCGATATCTATCAGGGATTCCAAACCAGCAAAGCACTGGCGATTTTGCTCTCTTTTCCTATTTGATTTACAGAATTACAGAATCACGGTGCGCTCAAGACTTAATTCAGCTAAACAGCGTGTTGTTCGAGACAAGTCCCCACAATCTCGCATGTAACTCGCAGTATCAGTTCCCACACGTACATACCATACCATACCGTACCTACCGTACACACGCACGAACGCACGCACACTCACACCTACACGCATAACCTCAAATAAATCCGTCAGCCAGCATAATCAAGCATCAGCAATCCAAACACTGCATTGCACAGGAAGAAGAGAAACCTCCCAAAATCACTCGCTCGCTACCTATTTAGTACATACAGTCCATGCATACTTCGGACCAGTTCCATTTGTACCATTCATACACACGCCCGCAACTTACAGACCCTTCATTTCTGACCCTTCTTCCTTCCAAACTCCTCCTCCCTCCTTGTTAATTATAACCCGGTACGAGAACAAATCAATCAATACAAATAATGCCAATTATCTAATATCCATTCGAGACTCACCCATTTCTGGCATCATATACCCCTGAAGGAACTACTAAAAGATCCAATCTACTGTTCGATGTCAAAGTGGATCTTAGCGAAATTGGTTATTACCATCACCCCCGAGCTGTTCATGCCCCGAAGATTGTCTTCTGGAAGAATTTGCGGAACTTAATAAAACACAAACCAGAGAAAGCGCGAAGCTTGAGGTCTTGCAAGTTTCCACGGTTCAAGGCCTGGTAGTTTCGACAATTCAAAGTTCATGCAACCCATGCCAGTGCTTTCCTTTTTGACTGACTCTCATGCGCTTGCGATATCCACCTACAACAAGCAAGCCATCGACTCCCCCACGTCGCACATCAAGAAACTACGAAAAGCCCTTGATCTATTACAGCTTCTCCTATCATTCAAATACTAACCCAAAAACGTCACGAGTCGTCCGTCCTTCTATTTGATCGTCGAAAGTCTTCTTGCTCTAGCGGGTCAAGACCCGCACTCCCGATTCTTGGTAACGGCTCCTTTCCTACCCTTGGACCCTTTCTCAGACATCCCATTACATCTCTCTACCTGATCAACTTCTTGATCTTTCAATTCGCTACTTCACTCATTTCCAATCTCACGGAGGACATCCAAAACATATCGTTATCATCTCGATCGTTACCTACTACCATCGACAGCTGCGTTACATGAATGCTCCGATTAAAGTAAGAAAGCTCTTGTAGAGCCATATACGCGGCAGCATTGGTAAGTCAAATCTCCTGACATTCACTATGGTTGACATCTGATGCTCGAACGTGACGAAAGTGCTTGCTAACATAGCCAATTTCATTCAGTATTCACTGTCGGTCATCTAATACGAACATTTATTATTCAAATACATATATACATTACTACAACACATACCTCAAACTAGATCTACAAACATGACAGTCGCGTACGATTTAACCCACCGAGGGTCTTCGACCCCTCAAGCTTCACAAGGACAAGCGTTGGAAGACAGGTTCGAAGTATTGAAGGATATTGGGGATGGAAGCTTTGGTAGTGTTGTTCTAGCTCGAGTACGTGGGGCAGGAGCCAGTGTAGCTCGACGTGGGACAATCGTAAGTTTAGACAGAGTCGACGGAGGAATTGTTAAAGCTGACGAAACAATTATAGATTGCTATCAAGACGATGAAGAAGACTTTTGAATCATTTCAACCATGTCTAGAGCTACGAGAAGTCGTATTTCTAAAGACATTACCACCTCATCCACACCTCGTCCCAGCATTAGATATATTTCTCGATCCTTTTACGAAGAAGTTACATATTGCCATGGAGTACATGGATGGAAACTTGTATCAATTGATGAAGGCTCGTGACCACAAGTGCCTGGATGTTTCTAGTGTCAAGAGTATCCTCTTCCAGATCATGCAAGGACTCGAGCATATTCACGCTCATCAGTTCTTTCATCGCGATATCAAACCAGAAAACATTCTCGTTTCCACATCAGCACAGGATTCAGGAAACTCATTCCGACGATACTCTGCTATGGTCACTCCTCCTTCCACACCACCAGCCTACACAGTCAAGATTGCCGACTTTGGTCTTGCACGAGAAACTCATTCGAAGTTACCTTATACAACATATGTATCAACAAGATGGTACAGAGCGCCAGAAGTATTATTAAGAGCAGGAGAGTATTCAGCTCCAGTGGACATTTGGGCAATTGGTGCTATGGCAGTGGAAATTGCAACTCTGAAACCTTTATTCCCTGGAGGAAACGAAGTCGATCAGGTCTGGAGGGTGTGTGAAATCATGGGTAGTCCAGGTAACTGGTACAACAAGGCTGGTGAGAGAGTTGGTGGAGGTGATTGGAGAGAAGGTACGAGACTGGCCGGCAAACTTGGCTTCTCATTCCCAAAAATGGCGCCACATTCCATGGACACGATTCTTCAGACGCCTCAATGGCCAGCATCGTTGGCAAAATTCGTCACGTGGTGTTTGATGTGGGATCCTAAGAGTCGCCCAACATCGACTCAGGCTATGGCTCACGAATTTTTTACTGATGCTGTGGATCCATTAAGGCCCAAGTCATCATCCAGGATACTAGGTCGCAAACATTCCGATCTCAGCTATCGTAGCTCAAAGGAATTCTCTGACGCCACACCGGCTGCAACAGCAAAACCTTCCTGGTTCAGAAAATCCCTCATCGGTCGAAATGATAATTCTAACACTGCAGCAATTCCAACAAAGGAGAAAGAGAACGTGGCATCTAAACCTTCACCGGTGCTTACAGCTACAATTAGTGAAATCCCCGTCGCTAAGACACGTCAGCCTGCGGCAAAGCGGTCAACATGGGCTTCGGGAGCTACTAACGCAGCGCCAATGCCGATTTTACCGACAATTAAACCAATCTCGCCAATCTCTGATACTGCAACAGCACAAGCAAACAGCAGAACATCATCGTACAATGATCTCTATTCTGGACAAAATGATAAAGGTTCGAAGAAAATTGGTCGTCAATTATCAGTTGCTTCGAGCACGAATCATTATGCGGAAATCCATCGACAGCAAGCTGAAATGGCACTGAATGGAAATTCAGGTCTAGTATCTCCTCCAAGTGGTCACAAGGAAAGTTTCTTTTCTCATTTAAGGAAACGTGCGAGAAGGTTCTCTGGTCGACAATCTACAACTCCTATGTCACCGAAATCAATGGACCTTGAAGCACAGGCTGGATGCGGACCTTGGTCGAGCAATAGATCGTCGATGGTATTGGATAGTAATCAGCCTGCGAGTCCTGCTCCGCAAAAAGTCGATTCTTCCGAGGCATTAGATAAGGCATTGCGTAACGTACAGCAAAACTTGGATTCACCACAAAGTACCAATTGCCCTCCTATACCACCAAGTCATCAAATCAATCCAAGTAGTGTTTTAAAGAGACATCACTCTGTGCCTCATCAACAAGCACCGCGCTCGACTGCCGATATTCCAAGGTCTGTTGCACCCATACCTACTAGGAACAGGAGGAGCCAAATCCCAGGAGTTCAACAATACGAGACTCCTGATGAGGAAGACGAATTGCTTGACGAAGCTTCAATTTCCACGAAAAAAACAGTGAAACGTGGAAATTCAGTACAGACCGATCATCGACAACCATCAAGACAATCACGTAGTAATACTGGTCTAAATCCATACCCTACGCCCTCCCCGTCCGCTAATGGTAATTCGGTACTCTTTGGCCAAGGTTTGAACAATGCTTCACCAACTCCAAAAAACCATGGATCTAGCAAGCAATCCTCGACACCACCATACGATTATGAGGAAAATGAGTGGGCAGCATCTGCTGCTGCTAGTATATTCGCGGCACAAAATCGATTCTAGACGATCCTCTATCGTCAATTTGTAAAATACTTGGAGGAAAAGTTTCGGGGTATCTACATTGCATGGTGTTTTGGGAGATATATGGCGGGGTCAGTTTTTTGTTCAAACGTTCTTTGTGACATCAGTTTACTATACACCAGCACAGCTGGGTCTAGCGAGTTCATCTGCGGCGTTTAATGTTGATATCGAAACCTTCTTTTGATTTTATTTTCCAGCTTCATACCCCTGAGCATCGTCGCGCCTATAGAAGCGCTTCTTAGTGTTCATTTTTTCTCGTCTTCTAAATACCCCTTCATAGACTGCACTAAATTCTATTTTCCGAAGATTCAATGGAAAAAAATTGCTTCACAGCACTCGAACAATATCTCATTTGTCATCAAATTTTTCTATGGATGTGGCCTGTAGCAAATTCAATTGAATGCCAGGACCGAATTATATACATGTTATTATTTTCCTATTTTTCAGGGTCAATGTTGATTCTCAGGCGAGCCACGTGGCGGCAGTTAATTGGGGGAAGTGAACCTGTTTATTCTACGTTGGTCGCACATTACTGTACAACTCACATGTTTTCAAGACCATCTTCACCAAAAAAATACGGGCACGGGATATGGGGAAAGGGATCTGGGATTTGCGGCTCTGGCGGGACGGGCAGAGGAAGGGGTTTCTAAGGGTATGCATATTTGTGGCGGGGATGATACATCTACTTAATTATAACAGTTTCCTTGTTCCTTTTGTCTTTCTTTTGTCGTACATATCTGGTTAGGGCTATCCTGGGACGGAACATTTAGAGATTTGCTGCAGGAAGGGATTTTCTGGGGAAGATCCTCGTTCCTGGATATCAGGAGGGAAGGTCCTAGGAAGAATTGACTGTGCTTTCATGCATGGTTGGAGGACTTGGAAAGAAAGGACGTCATCGCTCTTATGCCGTGTTGGCTAGTGAGGTTGGAAGATACCTCGATTGAAACTGCTGGGCGGTATGTCATTGTCATGGAAGAGGGAGGAAATGGCAGAGATTTTAGGGGTAGATAGATATGGGTGAGGTGTGTCGGAAGGTAGATGGATGAGGAAGAGATTTTCAGGATCGTTGGGGAGGGAGGTTGGGAATCCTGTATTTAGATTAGTGGCAAATGTCTAGAGGAGGGGAGGGGGTTCAATGGGATGATGAGCAAGAAGGGAGGGAAAGATAGAGTAGTGTGTCTTGTGGGTGTAGCTGGAAATCAAAAATTGGGCGTGATAGCGTCGCCTTCTTTTTCCTTTCACCTGATCTTATTGAATTGTTCATATCTTACTTGCTTGCATTGTACTATTTCATCTATTATCCGTGTGTGAATCAATGACGTGATGCAATGTCGTATGTGTAAAACCAGGCTTTTCCTCTTCCCTCTAGAGTCTATGGGTCTATGGATGATGGACTGAGATCTGGAGTCTGGATGGTGAACTAGATGGTGAACTGACTCATCGTATTAGTGTTGGGGTGGAATCATGAGTAGTATAGTATAGTGTAGTATAGCGTGGTATGATATAGTGTTGTGATATGATATGATATGATCGCCAAAGTGGAGTGAGTGAATGGGCAACGGGGCAACGGATAACATGGGAGGAATTCCGGGATGGAGGGATAGATGGGGAGGGAATAGGGAAGAGGGGAGGAAAAGGTTTGTTTTTGTTTGCCCCTCTGGATCATGTAGGGTGTAGGGGAAGGGAAGGGAGAGGGAAGGGAAGAGCTTGGGTGGATGTAGATGTGGGTGTTGGGGAGATCCTTGATCGATCTTGCATTGGGTTTCTTATTTCTTGTTTTGTGTATTGGGTATTGGGTATTGGGTATGGATGATATTGGATGATATTGGATATGGATATGGGTGTGTGGATGTGTGGATGGACTATGGGTATATCGTTCCATGGGATATGATATAGCTATAGGATAGGTTTCAGGGTATATAGCTAGCTATCGGATAGCTATAGGGAGGATAGGTTCTAGGATGAATGTGAAATGTGGAATGTGGAATTGGGAGAGATCTTCAGGGTCGATGATGGATGGATGGGTGGATGGATATAGTACTTGCGTACATATACATATGTATACCATACTTTGGGAACTGGGGAGTTGGGAGTTGGGAGGATGGGATGCTAGGGGATGTATTGTGGCGATTGAGGCGATTGAGGCGATTGAGGCGAGTGAGGCTACTTCAGGTGTGTTTGTATGTTTGTATGTTTTTTTTGGAGATGTCTAGATGTGTAGAATATGTAGTTTGATTCTGATTCTGATTCTGATTCTGATTCTGATTCTGATTCTGATTCTGATTCCAGTTCTAGCTTCTACTTTTCATAGAGTTGTTATACTTTTGGGGGGTTGGGTGTTGGTATGGATAGTTTGGTGTATCTTTAGGGTTGTTTTTGGATTTTGTAGTGTATGATTATAATACAGTGTTCTCGTAGTAGGGTGAGTATACAGTAGTAAATATATAACTCTTACTTAGACCCTAAACTCTAAATCCTGAACTCTAATAAATTCTTCTTATTCTCTAGACCCTTATTAGAAACTTAGGTACTATGGAGTACATACATAGCTTGTAAATAAAGCATGTACGTTCAATACATCGGTATCTATTACCATATAGTTTAATCTGTAGATACCTATCTATGTAATATAATACCCAGCACTTCCAGAATCTTTCATCCCATCATATCATACCATATCGTAGCATATCGTAAGAAGTATACGTGCCACCTAGCTTCTATCCATCGCGGGACATCTTCCATAATCCCTCCCTTGAAGCTGCCTCGTAAATCGCACATCATAAATTCCAACGGCCGGATCATTCCACGAAATGGAAATTCCCAACCACCTCCTTTTCTCTGTCTACGCGATATGAATATGATAAAATGATATGCCATGATGTGATGTGATATTACAAATCGACTACCTCCAGCTAGGTATCTAACTTCCATGTTGCTGGTTCTGGTTACATACATACAAATACATACATCGTACCGACGCGGCATTGATCTCCGGAACCCAAGTGGATCGCACCCTCTCATTCACGATGCACTTTTGATGATCCAATTTGCCTATCATTTTCTTCGTCTCGTATCGTATGTTTTGTTGATGTTGTTGGCTTGACAACGTGGGGAGCTCTACTCAATGCGAGGGCGACGGGGGACTGGGATTATCACAGACTACCTACAGACAGACAGACAGACAGACAGACAGACAGTACTTTGGACGGCAAATTTTGTAAAATGACAAAGCAAGCAATGTGCTTTGGAATTGGAAATAACGGATTGGAAATAAAGAATTGGCATGGGATCGAATGGACAGGGATCGGTTCATTCATTTGAGTATACGTACTAGTCGGCATCCTAGTCCTTGTTCTAGAATCTTTCCGAGGGTTTCGAAATGAACGCGAGATGAGTCTCGGAGGGGGGACGATTAGTTCGATGGTTAGTAATATGTAGGGAGATAGATACTAGGGTGATACGAGGATCGGATGAATATCAAACGTTCGAGAGGTGTGGAATGGATGGGCATGGATTGGTTAGCTGGTCTGGCTGGTCTGGCTGGTCTGGCTGGTCCTTGGCTTGGGTATGTATGTACTGTGTGTGTATCATATTGTATGGGATGGATGGATAGATTGATTAATCATTTACGATAGATAGATAGTGGAGTCGATGAAGTACTACTACGACGTACTGTATGGAAAACGGCAAGTAAGCAGCGAAATACCGACAGGAAAAGAGGAAATTGCCGTTGGGAAGTTGGGAGTTGTAACGGGTGGAGGTAAGCTTACTTTACCTTGCTTTCTTACCGGCCGGGGAAAGAGGAAGATGATGTTTGAGGCGTGTATATGATGAGTCGTTTTGGTTTTGGGATTGGCTCTGGCTCTGGCTCTGGCTCTGGCTCTGGTTTCCATTCTTGATTCTTTTTTTGATATTCATGGTTTGAGATGGTGAGGGCTGGGAGGTTGGGAATGGGATTGATTGATTGATTGATGAGCTGGTTGGTTGGTGGCTGCGAGGATTATCTCTTGGATCTTGGGTACCGAAGTAGGGTACCGAAGTTGATATGTGTCGGAAAATCCGTGTTTGTGATGAGTTTTGTGATTCACGATTGAGACTTCTTGGGGGAGGAGGTTCCGGGGAAGACGGAGGGAAAGAGGAGGTTGGATCAATGGAAATGGAGATGGAGATGGAGAAACCTGTTCTTTGGGATCTGGATTGGATTAGATTTGCAATTCTTTTTTTTCTTTTCTGAATCTTTATTTTTTATGTCTTTTCTGAATCTTTTCCTGTAGATTATTACTATAAATTCAGATCCTGTTTATCTTTTGATTTCTTATTTATTCCCCCCAAAGAGGAATAAATGTGATATTACCAACCTTCGAATTGGGGGTTCCAGGCTATACTTCGTAGGCTCGGCCTAACCGACTAGTCTTAGTATCTACCTGACACCGGCTCGAGACCAGTGACTAGTATAGTTTCCGTGCCGGCTGCTACCTAAGTAGGTAGAATGGATGATTTAAACTTTTCAATAAAGGTTAAAGGTTGGGAGAGTTAATTGCTTAGGGAATTAGTATATGTGCTAGAGCCTAGAGGTGTATACCTGTGGCGTGGTCAGACACTAGGAGTTTATAATCCGCTACGAGACATATCTGATGGATGGATGGATGCCCAAAAGTCTAAAAGTGTGAATCTGTTGCTCTGGAATTTGGGGAGGAAATTGGAAAGGATGGGCGGTTGGGAATGATGGATTGTAAATCGTGAGTTGTGAATCGTGAATCATGACGATGCTTGAGCTGAGCTGAGCCGAGCCGAGCTGAACTGAACTGGGACGGAACGCTTCTGTCGAGATTTTTCTGATTAAGGTTGAAATCAATCCCTGAGGCAATCATATGGATGTTATAGAACCGCAATCGATTGACTTTGGGAGTCTTGAAGAGGATGAGAGATTGGCATTTGATAGCAGAAATGGACATATGTCTGTATGGTTTTGATGGCGAATTGATATTCTCCCGCGCAAGTGCGTGTGTCTACATCGCGGGAAAGAGATATCCATCTACGACGAAGATATATGAATCTTGACTCGAAGCAAATCTCACAATGATAATGAACCATCACATCCTAAATCGATATCATAGAAACACAAATCTCAATCATAACATCTTACGACCAACAACGCATTGAAAAGACGTATTCACCGCAACCCCATTCGCGCTTTCTCTCTCCAAGTCCTCTACAAATTTCATCCCCATCCCAGTTCCCTTCGTATTATAAGCATCGATCTTCGCCATCACATCTGCAGTAGCAGTCATAGAGCTCTGTGACCAAAGAGGACGGAGATAATTAGGCCATGTATGCCGAGTACGGGATACATCCACAAGTCCTTCTTCTTCAAAAAGAGCTTTCAACCCCTCAACCCACCTATTTCAGAATTAGTATCTTATCTTAGATTAACTTTGTCTGAGAATTGGATTCTTCTCACCCATGTTCACTGTCTGGCTTCGGTTTATGAAACGTATTACAAAGTCTCTCCGACGCAGTCGTCGTCACCGATCCTTCCCGCATCACCACCACTTCCGCAGCCAGCGGCATCGGTTCCATCCACTGTAAATACCCCCCGAGTTCTACATCCCCACGTAACTTATCAGTTCACAAGACTCCACAAGCTCCCCCCGTTCCCAACTCCGCAAGTTCAAGACAGAAGCCCAAACACAATCCCAAACTTACTCAACAGCGAAAGCAATTTCCGCAACAGAGGCTTCGCATCCGGATCATTCACAACACAGAGCCAAGAGCGCGCATGCACAATATCATACCGTTCTTGCAACTCGCTCGCGTAGTCCTAAAATCCATCGTGAGTGTACAAGTGTACGTTGTGCGGACGGAAAACCCGCAGCGGGGAATTGCGCGGCCGAGATGTCGAAGCCATCGATTTGGACGGTGGGGGGAAGCTTGCGGGATATGTCGCAAGCCCATATTCTGGTGTTGGCGAGGGGGGTTTGTATTTGTAGGGGGGTTGGTTGGGGAGGGAGGGAGGGTTGTTATGCATGGTGTGGTGTTGCGTGATTTGAATGGTTTAACTACTTACCCAATTCCAGTCCCTACATCTGCGATTCGTAGACTGGGTTGATGCGTGGGGGTACTGGGATGAGTGAGGTATCCGGCAACTTCTTTGATCAGGAAGTGGTTGTAGTTCAATCTGGGAGTAAATTAGTGTCATATTGGGTGTCTATCAAATTATCTTATCGCATGGAGGATTTGTAGTCGCGTTTGAATATGTATTCTTGATTATTGTCTGGTTCTTGCTTATCCTGTGGGGGTTCTGCTTTGGATGCCATTTTACCTGGATGTGTAGATACTCAAGGAGTCTATTGAGAAAGATGAAGAAGAAAGAGGGATGTGAGTGATGAGAAGTATTTCACAGGGACACTCTTTTATACCTAAGTAAAGTACATAATAAATGTTTCTACACTAAAGTAAGATCCCCTGCGGCGTGATAATCTTACACTTGTAATCAGATAAACATGCGAGACACAACAATTTGACTTCATCTCCCCCTCTCGTAACTTTTCACGTCAGATACAACACTTTCTCGATCCTCATGACCCGGCAATCTGATCCGGTTTCGCACCTTTCGATTGCTGTACTATCAGTCCGCATCATTAGCGATTTTAGTCGCGCTTTCGAATATGGTGAAGCACCCACCGTCCATAGTATGGCTGTGGATTTGCTCTTTGAGCTACTGATTGCATCGCAGCTAGGATGGCAAGTGTGCTCTTCAATAATGTAGCGATGCATTGGCTTCTCGTAGAGCTAGCTAGCTATGGTTTATATATGATGCCCAGATTCGACTAAAGACTTGTAGCTTGGATACAAACTAGCGAAAGCAGCATCTTCTCACTGTTTGAGGAATACTTTGTAGGGAGTAGATAGCATCAAAAGGTCTTGCAGTGGGTTATGCATACCCTCTCCCCTCCACCACTAGTCATATAAATCACGATGGGTCACTCTACATTAATTTGCTAGATAAATCTGACCGCTTGGTATTGCTTTACTTGCGTACAATTGATTTCTCTATGAAAAGATATCGTAACCCCATTATACCTAAATGCAATTCCTTGATAATCCATCAAACTGTGCCTTGATTCAAACCCAAGGAATTCCTGCTGTAGCTCGTTTGATCATTGCCCATCTCCGAGCTCTACTAATCTGAGGGTATCCCTTAGCTTTATCACCTTATCTGGCGTACTTTCTGGTAAGGTTGCCAAGAATCCATCATCGTTGCTGCGCACAATGGAGTCAATCTCTGGAATGTAGAGAGTTGAATCATACTGAGTTCCATCAGGCCAGCATTGAAAAACATTGACTACCTCGACTTTGTTCCAGTATTCGATAGCATTTTTGTTTCCTTCTTCTGTTTTTTTGCGATATGATTCAAAATGTCTGTCGAAAAGATATCGCGCTTTCAGTATTTTCTTCAACACTTGATACCTATCATCCGCCTCCTCAGACGGAACTTGACGCCCGTCTGTATCTTCGAGGTCTAGCTTGAGCAAGTCTTTATCAATGTTAAGAAGTCGGGTAACAGGAGGTGCTTTCTCGTCGCAAATACGCGAGCCAAGAACACTGAGCCTCTTGAGACATGGGCATTGCGAATAAGTATCGTTCAATAGCTTGGTAATTTTGCCACTGGTCCAAGGCGTGCTGACGGATAAATATCCAAACCAACTCACAGCAATATGGGTAAGCCTCTTGAGATCGAGCGATTCGCCAAGACGATATAAAAGGTCAAAACGACTATAATTTACCATAAGGATGTCTTCTGAGAATCGCTTATAAGTATCGTTGAGAACCATATCGCCCCAGTCCTTGTAGCAGAAATTTTCGTTCGGGCTAAGATGCTGCTTGTTGGCCGTGTGCGGGTGACTATTCAAAAGCTGAATTTGGATCTTAGTAAATCCATCTCCAGAATAAACTGAGGCATTTGATGTTATGCATGTTTCAAGTAAAGATAACAGGCCTGGTGCCCTGGTTTTATTTACTCTCGCATGGAACCAGGTGATTCCATCCTCAGGCTTCGAAAATATCACTTCGAGTCCGAGATGGACGATGCGCGGATCAGGAAGTGCGAGTTTGAAGATCTTGATCTGTATTTCTCGAGGGAATTGGCCAAATCTATGGAGTGTTTTGGTATTTCCAGTGATAGACTGATGTTTTCTCACTGGGAGAGGTGGAGTCGTATTTACTGAGCTTTGTTAGTGGAGATATATATTAGAGAAGACAATTTGAAGCTTTACCTTGAATCTTCTTATCTGCAGTATCATTATCCTTGGGAAAATCCATGCCATTGTGTTGCGAGGCAGTTGTGTTGGCCGACATGGCGCTGAGTTCACAGTTTTTCTGTTGTGAAAGGAAATATTATGTCCGGTCTGGGAAAGTACCAAAATGCGATGGCGCTGAGTTGGTTGTTGTGTTTGTTGCTTGAAGAGTTATTGAAATGGAATGTCGAGTACTCAGGCAATTGCAAGTGGCTCTGACTGAGAAACAAATGAGTTGTGAGAAGAAAGCTTTCTCTGAGAAGTAGGAGAGGAATCTTGGTAGGTAGGTAGCCATTGATGTGGCTGACTATGAACTGAATGGTTGATTTCCAAGGTTAGTGTAGCGACTGTATTTACTCTTCGGATTTTGAAGAGACAGAGTGCCCTGCACATAACAAGTTACCTAGCATGACCGGTATGCTCGGATTCACTTGCCTCTCTTGAAACCATTTGAAAGATTCAATATTAGATTAGGCGATTTACCCTGGCTGATGAAGCCAAGATTTTTTGACCATACTTTGTTGGACTCAATGAGTCAACGCTACAGAAGAATAACTTCTAACAATTCATCTTCGAATTTATTCGCTCGCATTCCATCTCCATGACACTGTAAATTCTGACAACTTAGCCTTATAAATCCATATCTTTGGTAACACCCCTGGGGTTGATTACCCATCTCTTGTACCAATAATTCATAGTGTGTGTGAGACTGCCATCCTCCGATAAGTAGTACTTGGACAGTGGCCCCTGTGAGCAATGTATCACGACTAGCATTATGTAGTATGTTGGTGTCCGTCGAATGATTTGATCCAAGCTGATTATCAAGCCATACCCAAAAAGTAATGATTTAGTGGTTCCCCACCATCGCAATCAATACTAACTTCCCCTGAAAGAGGGAATGTTTCCCGAGGTCCATAAACCAGGTCGACTTGTATTATTGGAGCTTTGATATGAAGCTTCGAGTCGATGATGTCGGTCAAGTTTGTGTTCCCTGGATACGAAGGGAACATATGTGGATAGACATCATGAATATAGGAGTGCCAGTCACCTGTAGGAACATCTAAAAACTGGACCGGCCCATTTGAGGCCCAGCGCCAAGTAGGAAAACGGTCGTCCCTAGGTTCTACGGATACATCCAGCAATGCATCGTAAGGATCCCTAGGGGAGTAGTTACACGCAAGCACTTGAGCAAGATATGGCCGGAACACGCCATTAAAATATTCAACCTTGAGTCGCTCTATGATGAGACAAGCGATACCATGAATAGCGTATATTCGATCTTTGGAAAAGGTTAAGCCTTTCTCCGATAGCAAACGAAGTGAGCGGTGCCAGCCATCGTGGGCCAAGAGTTTTTCGTCAGGCATGGCTAGAATATCTCGAGGAGTGGCAGTAGCGGCATGATTATACGTCTTCCACTTCTTAGAACTTCCCTCTAGAAAGTAGGAAGATTGGCATTCGCGGTATAGCCCATTAGAGGTCCAATGAAGTACACGTGGTGGAAGCGAAAGCTCCTGTAAACACCACCCGCGTTTTGATAGTGGCGATTCATCAATAACATTCCTCAATATCGCGACGTTCTCTTCTGATTGCAGTGCTATAGATTGCCGATCCGGACCAGCAGTACCTGGGTAGGTTAGGAAAATAGATTGGATTGGGTACCGCCCAAGCAGCGTTTCTTTGAGCAATCCTTCCGCTGCATCATTAGCAACTGATGCAGCTATACAGCACTCAGCGTTGGCGTAGTAATTTCGCATTTTGCTCGCCTCCCTTTGGAATTCGCTATAGTCATCGTTATCTGAGGATTGAATAATGCGAATTGTATCGACCCATAGATAACGGATATTCATCATTCTAGTCAGAATTATTGCATCTTATATGGTTTTAGGAAGGTAAGCAATATTGAAGCTGCGCAGACGATCCTCAAGATTCCCTGTGGTCGTTTTTGCAACGTCGTTTCCTCTACCCCGGCAATAACTGAGAATCAAGTATGGATGTTTGTAGGGTTCCATGGAATCCATTGTTGTGGTGAGCCGAACGCTTTCGTTATTCATAGTTCCCACATCAATGAGGCGAGTTGGCAAGATATTCGTACCAATTACACGGCCGCAATTCTCATGATTCTCTCTGCGATTATAACAGACTTTAGTCAAAGGCTGAGTTTGCGTATTGGCCAAGTCTTTGAGATCCTCCAAGACTTCTCCTTGGGCAGATTCTGGAAGAAAAAAGTAAATAAGTATGGTTTGTGGCAACCCAAATGAGAAATTACAAGCGTTTGATATGTCGAGATTCCGGTTTCGCTTGAGTTTTCTCTTCGGTAGAGTTGAGCTCGAGGAACCACATATGAACACAATAATAACCGGCTGCCTCTCCTACATCTACCAACATGCCCACACGTTTGCCATATAGCACGCGAATATAGAAATTCAATGGAGTTTTGGTAGATGGTAGTGTAGTTCGCTATCCCATAAGCATCGAGATTATACGCAACCAGAAGTATTGGCAAAGTATACAGCCCTCATCAGTTGAGATTTGGAAAGAGCCGAAGATTCTGTGATGAGAAAATGGACTGCTCTGAGTTTCATAGCGTATGTCTCGTTGCCATGGAATAACTTCGCAGTGTTTGCAAAGTTGCGGGGAAGGATGTAAGAACGAGGGTTGATCTGACATATTGTCCAGCGACAAGATGTCGATGGGTTGACAATTATCGGTTTAAGCGTATGCCTGAATAACCATATGAATTTTATAGAAGACCCAGTCCATCAGAGAAGAAAGGATCTGAAAAACTTGGCGCAGCTTATTTCTGGGCCCCTTGACATAGAGACATCCCCGGTGAAGGATAAAAAGAATGCCCGAAGAAAATAATCAGTATTCTTTTATGAGGCTTCGTTCTAGCTCCAAAGTTTCTTAGGCAAGAGACGGCCTCTATATATACTCCTAAGTCTGATGCCTATAAGCAGCACTTAGCCACTCTTCTGTGGTGTGGTTTACAATCTTGGATACACAGCGGAGAAGATCGCACCACGAAAATTAAATTGGTAGTCAATTAGCTCACACTTGTTTATTTCACCTCTATTGGCCGTATCTATGACAGACCACTAGAATTGAAGTAGACTTAACGATAGTGTTTCAACCGTCATCAAGTAGGTACTCGAGGAAGTAAGTGATCTTTTCGTTACCTGAAACTTTTCAGAGACGAAGTAATCAAGTCTTACTGAGCCTCAACACGTGTTTTTCAGGCGGTCCACCTTCCTATTTAAGCGGCCGTACTATTGGGGCCGCAAAAGTATCAAGCTCTTAGGAAAGCTCTGGGGATAGATGCGATGAAATCTTAAAGAATAAGAGACAAAAGAAATAATTATTTTCAAACCATCGCATCCGATCTCTGGAGTAACAGGCACATTGGCTATCCTGGTGGTTGATTCCCGTCTCCCTCGGCCAGCATTGGTCCGAGGTCGTGGTTGCCACGAAGGAGAGGTGTTTCTCTTTGGTATAGGAGTATTTTATGCTCAATATGAAAATTGTTTATTCGGCGTATTTTGCGATACACTGATGGGAATTTGAGTGTTTGCCAGTGTCTGTCTACACTTTGCAGGATACATCGTGTGTGAGGGCGTGGGACGTACATCACAAAGCTATTTTGCATCCGGGATTTATCCGGAAAGCTACTATCATTATCCACCTCCCAATCAAGAGATCGTAAGGAATTGAAATGTCTTGTTCATTGTACTTGTTTTTCACATTGGAGAAATGTAACAAGATGTTGCAAAGAAACCTCGAAAGGGTTCAAAAATTGATAAAGAATTGATTCAGAACAACTGTAAAAGTCTAGATGTTCTTGATATCGCCAACATATGTGAATGCATGCAACGCAAATGATCATGGTATAATTCCAAATGATGCCCCCGATTTACCTTCATCCAACCCGCATATTCTCTTGATCCGTCTTCTCATATAACTAGCCCTCTATTGTGGACCATAAACTCATTGCTGATATCTACTCCTTTTCAATGAAATTCGACTTCCACTCTTCCATATCTGTATCCATCCACTTTCAACTCAAACGCCAACCCGGCGCTTTCAACCACCATCTCTAGAGTGAAATCTAAATTAAGAAATTCCACTCCTCTCGTGGTCGTCAATCTCGTATACAGACTCTTCGGTACGGCTCCCAGATCCGTGGTGAGTGTGCATACGCTTATTAGATCTCTCGTGAAGGACGCTGGAGGTTCGCCATCCGAATCGCAAGCAATAAGATCATCGGACACAATCAATGATTGCCCTGGGCGGAAATTGCGCGTATAGTGAAAAGAGATGGGAGTGTCTGTGTTGAGAGTATCACCCTGAATGGGATTAGTGGTGCTGTCGAAGCAAAAGGGGGAAGGGGGGAGTAAAATTCACCTTGTTTAGATGCCATTGCATCCTATCGCTGACCATCCAACGTTCCCATAATGGACTCCAATATCTCTCGCTAACGTTATGTTTATCCTCATCATATACCGTTGCATACGAAGTTCCATAATGCATCCGCGCCTTTCTGGACACCACCACGCTTCCTTCCAATCCTTTAAGAACCGCTCCTCGGACCACAGCAGTCCATGCATTGATAGGCTGCATGACCTCTACAGAATTGCTTTGTGCTAATGCCATAGATTGTGCGTGAGTTGGTCGTTCACTGTAAGGTGGTGGCGCTGCGCTGTTAAAATGCGATTTTAATCTTTTGTATAAATGGTTGCTTTGTCCAAATCCTCCCACAAGCACAATACCCGAGACGATGCCTCCTTTTTGTCTAATACCATCAACTTGACCTTGAACCAGATCACACACCTCTTTGACGACTGGCTCGAAAATATCTTTGACTTGAGCAGTTGTCATAATAAAAAATCCCCCATCCAGACCAGCATCTATATCATCTGCTAAGCCAGGAAGAGGAATATTGAACTCTGTATCGTTTTCCTCGTCGAAATCTCGCTTCACATATTCTTCCCAGTATTTTAGTCCCATTTGCCATGACTTCGCTTTCTTCATTTTCATCTCTTCAAATCGTGCAACTCCTATACGACTCTTGCAATGTTCCTCAAATCGATAATTGAGAAACGCACTTCCGCAAAGCCCCCCGGTACCCACTGCGGACTCTTCTACTTGCAATGGCTTGAGAGATATAATTTTGTAGGCGATGAGATCAACAGTGCCACCTCCGGCATCACATACTACAAAGTTATCACCAGCTTGTAGATGATTTGGTTGGATGGCTTTCAGAGTATAGACAGCAGCGGCTTCAGGCTCACTGATCATCTGAATTGCTGACTTATCGCCCATTCCCGCTCTCTCTGCAGCTTGAAGCGTGGTATTCTTCGCCGCATCAGACCAGACTGCTGGACAAGTAAGAACAAATTCGACTTTCGTGGTTGACATGAATAATTCTCCATATCGGCGAGTCAAGGTTTCCATGGTATGCTTATAGATTTGAGTCAAATAATCACTGACAGCATCGACAACATTTTTACTATGCTCTTTAAGCTGGTTAGCAGTTTCAGCTGGACTAACATAGAAAGGTAATTTTTGAGATCGGTCGAGAAAAAGTTTGATACATCGCAGTCGAGGTTCCTCGGGACGAAACTGACAGCCCCATTTTATCGTCGGTTCAGTTCCTACTGGCGATCCTGGAGGTTTGGAGTATCCAATTTCTGTTGGCACTTTATCAGATGTAATCCCATTACTTCCGGGCCAAGTTTTGATGATATCTACATCATCAGGATTCGATGTGTATACAACAGCAACACTGGTTCGATGTTAGCATTTGTGTAAGAATCTGAAGAACCTAAAATGCAAAGGCTTGTGAGAGGTGCTGATCTAATGAAAATTACTTCATCAAGCATTATAAGATCGAGGTTTCCAAGATTTATACACGTGTAGAAATTGTAGTATCGAATATGATAAGCACTCGAGTACAAACAGCCGACACAAGTATATGGAGTAATTATCCAGAAATACAAGATCCCGTTTTGGTGGTGCCACAAATGTCTTGGCAAAACAAGCTGTAAAAATGAACATACCCAGAATATGTTGTCCCGAAATCCAGTCCAACAATTAATCTTTCATTGACGGGTGCTGGTTCTCGTATTGGTCCAGCAATTGCCTCGGTTGAAGAGGTGGGAGTATAGTTGCCAGAAATATAGTGATTTCGACTTTCATCGTTTCTTCGACTAGCAGTCCGTATAGGTAGGTTGAGATTCATAGTGACCATTTATGATGATTCTAAATGTTTTGACTTGAAAGATGTACTATCCACGACGGTTTTCTACCCACGGTCGTATTTGTATCGAGACTGGGAGGAAAGTTCGCTTGATGCCCCTCAATTAAGCCCCGCCGAATCCCAAACCAAGCTTTTTGAGCAAAACAATCAACAGATAGAGGAGAATCAGATGTTTTTTTCTGCCTGTCTTTCTCAGGGCATGAAAAGAAAGATCTGGGCCAGCTATTCGGGAGGTATTGTGAGATGGAAAGATTTTGAAGCGTTTAATGATATTCCGATGTGAAGCGCAAACGTGGGGAATCAAATACAAAAAACAATTGCAGATTTTCTAGAACGATAAGAATAAATTTCGAGGCTATATCTTTTGGAACTTCAGAAAATATACACAAGAATTGAATGGGTACAACGATGGCTGATCAGGAACAATATTGATCGCTCGGTCAGGGCAGGAGTAATTAAGACTCCGCCATAGGCAGCAGTAAAATGGAATTTGGAAGCCTGAAGTAATACTGACGAATACCTCGGGGATAGATTTCCTATTGAATAGGATAGGATCGCCGGATGCAAAACAGACGGTTAACTATATTGGAATTGTTGGATATGATTGTCTTGACGAGAGCCTTGAATATATAATGTATATATATAAAGTTGTAATCGAAAGAAAGCGATGTTTATTTTAAGGCGATGGGTGGAGTTGGTTGTGCAGCATAATGTTAAGGTTATGGTTATGGAATGATCCAAATCACTTGGACATCCCACCTCAAGCCCACCTACAGATTAGCCGCACTCAGTTTACATTAGCGAACCTTTTACGGACGTACTCAACCCCCTTCAGGCTACATAACAGAATCAGATCAACTCTTGTCTTAGAAGGGCTGAATAGTTTCAACGCTGCATCTCTGCGTGATACGTGATCTAAGAATGGAGTTATGGGCATGTGGGTTCAATGCTTGGAATCAACTGCAATTCGAGGGAGATCTTCCTGATGAACCCGAAGATGTCCTTAGCTTCAAACGAGTATTAAGAGCAGAGGGAAGTATTAATATTCTTGAAACTTCTTTTTCGGCTTGTTTAGGTATGTTGATATTACTTTGACGGCCCTTTGTATTCTTTTGTTTTTGCGTTTTTACAGAGTGATGGATGTAAAATCACGTGTATATCACATGATTCGACATATCGATTTCATGAGTGAGAATAAAATGGCTCCAGCGAGTGGCAAGTCTGTTCAAAGAGATATGCTTAGAGTTCTAGTAAAAGCTCAAGGAGGGGTAAGGGTAAGCTACAACTTCAGAAGCCTACTTAGAATTGGACAGAGTCTTCAGATGTCATGAATATACATTTGCCAGAGCTTGAGGCTAGCCCTCATCTTCTTCATTAATCGGTCAAATAAATTATGAGAATGATTGAGGCTCAGTACATAGTATAGCTTTTTTCGTAATAACACATCATTTCATCAAATATGGTACTAATATACTTGCAATTCTAGCAGTAGTATCGAATGGTCCTTCAGGTCTCCACGAAGAGATAAAAGTTGCCGGTTCCCCAGATGGATTTTTACAAGCACAATTAGAACAGCTCACTGCAATGAATAGCACGCAACACTCAGAAGAACGAACAGACTGTAGAAGATACGAAGATGTTAAAAGCAAGGCAACCGCAGCTGGAAACGACAAGATTGCAGGTAACCTCAAATTCCACATTCTCGCCCATCAACAATCTACTAAATTCTCCAGCTTTCACACCGACAACCATAATCCAATACCCCTCTCTTCCAGCATACATCTCTCGAGCCAATCCAGACTTCATATCTCCCCTCCCCCACATCACGCAACTCGTCTCCAACACCACCACCTTCGCGGCCCTCACCCAAGAAGGAAACGTCTACACCTGGGGCGATGAACGCTATCCCTCCTGTCTCGGCCGCGAACCCACCTCTTCAAATCCAGCATCTCAACCCACCATCCTCACCTCTCTTATCTCCCTTCCCACCGGGCAAATTCGCAAACTATCTTCTTCCGGCCCCCTAACCGCTGCTCTGACCACCGGCCACGATCTCTATATATGGGGTCGTACCAATACTCCCTCTATAATTCCTGAACTCTCAGAATCTTCTTCATTTTCATCCTCGGATGATTACGATCCCATTCCACTCGATATCCACGGAGCCGACATCCTCGATTTCAGTATTGGTGAGAACCACATGTTGGTGCTGACGACGGATGGAGAATTGTATGTCATTGGAGAGAATGGGAATGGTCAACTTGGGCTTGGAGAGGGGGCAAAAAAGAGATGCGGGGAGTGGAGGTTGGTTGATTTAGGGTTTGAGGAAGGAAGCACAAAGAAATGTGTGGGCGTGCGGGCAGGGTACAAGTGTAGCTTTGCACTCGTGGAGGACCACTCTTCATGAGATTAGTTTGTGGATATTTCATCCAACGTTATATCGAAGCTTAAACATGAGTAGATGGAAAGACATTTCAAACAGATCTCACAATAAATTGGAGAGCAAGAATGGATAGAAGTAAATCAGTATGGTATCTCTTTGCTAATTTTGCCTTCTTATGCCATTCTATAATACATCATGACCTTGGGACTACGTTAAAGTTCATTGCTATTGCAGAATAAAATAAAAGCTGCTCATAGATTCGTAAGGTAATCCTCAATTTCTTGAGGGCTCAGTTTTCTAAAACGTGGGCCTTGAGCACCTTCGACTCCCTCGATGCCCATTAAATGATCGGCTGGTGGTCCTACAATACCTAGGAAGACGTTAGCGAAGTGAAATATACATCGAGATTCTTAAACTTACCGATCTCTACTGTGTCGCCATTCATCTCTCCTTCAATGGTCTCCTTCAACGTCAACAAAGCGATGTGTACAGCATCTTCCAACTCCAATCCCTCGGTGTATCTCTTCTCCAAGAAAGTCTTAGCTGAAGTAGCATTCTTTCCAATGGCAGTCGCCTTCCATGGGAAGTAACTACCACTAGGATCAACTTGGTATAACATAGGTCCACCCTTCAAGATACCACCAGTCTTGCCCGATGGCTTCTTCTCATCCGGATGCACTTCCGCACCAGCAACATCCTCCGATTCTGGCTCAATTCCATCATCCCAACCTGCGATCAACAAACTAACACCATATGGTCGTACACCTCCCGATTGCGTAGCTTCTTGCATCACCCGCGCAACGTCTTGTACTAATATACGGGTGGGTGGGTATTCGTTATAAATGCGCTTGTAGCCAGTGTGGGATACTTTGCGGGCCTTGTCGACGAGTACGCGGTAATCAGGTCCCATGCCGGAGTAGACCATGCCAATGTTTGGAGTGATAAGAGAGACTTTTGAGAGGGAGGGGGGATCGATGAGGGTTGAAGAGGACTTCTTCTCCGTGGCAAGGACGATGCCGTTGGTAGCTGATGATAAGTTAGCACAAATGCACATGTTTAGTGAGGATATGCGTGCACCTTTGATTCCTAATGAGGTAACACCCTGGTTGACGGCATTTAATGCATACTCTGTTTGCGATTTGATTAGTATGTAGAGCTGATGGGATATACCAACAAGTAAAATTGTAGCTTGGCGCATATTTGATATAAGCTTCATTCAATGGTACGAACCTATCTGAACCAATTTCCCACTTCAAAACGTTAGCAAAGTACTTCGGCATGTATTATATGTCACCCAGTAGGATCTCTAAAGCTTTGGCTGGTTCAATCGTACCTGGGGGAGAAGGTTGTCAAGGAGAAAGAATATCTATCCGCCATCGTTTCTGTTTATTTCGAAACTTGTGCCGGAGGGTTCTGGAGGTTCAAAATTACAGAAATGGTTGACGCAAATGTAAAGTATGGGTTGGGAGTTTAGAGAGTGAAGCTGTGTTTGGGGTCGTTGGACTTTAGAGCTACAGGCAGCTCTGGTCCACGACTACGCGATGAGAATTGATGCCTTATATATATGGCAGTAAGTCAGCTCAACGTCAGGCACCAAGCAGTATCTGGGCAAATATCAGAGCTCTTCAAGCTTCTTAATTTTATTCACGACACATATGTATTTTATATCATTTTTAACGTGCTAAAATTCTCCTACCATACCCCGAGTGAAACTCCAATGGTAAAGCTATTATAATGTAAAGATTTATTATGGTGAATTTTCGAATACATTAGATTCAATGAGCAATTTTAGGTAGGATTTTATTATGTTTTCAAGATTTCCGGGGATTTTACTAGCGCAACTTTTTAACGTGCACACACCTCAGAAATCTGATTCAAATCAAAATAAAAAAAACCAAACATTTTATTTAAAGATCATCAAGAAGCCACATCTCACCACTGTCGTCGATGTCTCTACATGCTCTCCATCCTTCTTTAATGAAGTTTTCCTTTGATTGATTTTATTAACTATCCGTTCACTGACTTTCTAGTACATCAAACACAGCTCTTATTGAAATTCTCTCTTTGTTCTTTTTTCTTCTTGAACAGCCGGAGGTTTCAAACACTTGCAGGAACCATTCCTAGCTAGCTAATCATACATCGGAGATCGGGAAGTCAATAAGTAACCTTCTCCGTCATCGCTATAGCTTTGATAGCTTTGTTTCTTCATTCGTTTCTTCATATCTACAAATCTCATCAGCACAGAAATGGCAACTCCACAACCCACTTGGTCATGGGATGATCTGTCTGCAGATTACAACTCGCAATCTTCTCACCAAAATCAGAACGACACATTCGCAGCGGACGAGCATACGCACCAAGAAGCACCTGTACCTGAACCAGAGCCGGAACCACCACGTCGAAGATATTACCCATCCCGACTATGTCGAATATGCCTGGAAACCGTAGAGCCGACCTTCGAAACTCCAACCGAAGGCATAGCTTCAATGCTCAATCCAACACCCCGAGTGGCATATAAATCGGAAGATCCTGAGTTGGGCCGTCTAATGCGACCATGCAAGTGCAAGGGAAGTCAAAAATATGTTCATGAAGGCTGCTTGACAGCATGGAGATACACATACCCCGGATCAAAAAATTATTATGAATGTCCTACATGCCACTTTAGATATCACTTTCACAGGATGAAGTGGGGCCATTGGATCAGTAGTGCTTTTACACAACTATGTCTTACTTTCGCAATATTATTTGTTACAATCTTCGTCATGGGCTTCGTCGCCGATCCGATCATTAACTTTTATCTGGACCCGTATGATACTGTTTTTTCATTCCCTTCAATGGGAGGGAATGGTCCAGCTCTACATATCGTGGATACGGAAGCAAATACCTGGGCCGAGCATCTATTAAAAGGACTGGCGTCTTTGGGAATGCTCGGATTTGTTAAGATATTCTTTGCAATGTCTCCGTTGAGTTGGTGGAATGTAAGACAGACTGGCCTGTTCGGTGGCGGCCGCGCTCGAGCTGGAACAGGTCGGAATCGTCTAGAGAACATCAGTTGGACTCTTGTCATTATTGGTATCGGTGCCTTCTTAGTTGTGAGTCACTACCCATCCTATGCTTATGGAAATCTGCTAACAGCCTTCAGACAGTTTGGAAATGGACCAGAAGCTGGAGTAAATCGGTACTCGAAAAAGCTGGCGAGACCGTGATCGATGTTGGAGGCGACGATGCTGATGAAGATGATGAACAGACACAAGCAGAAGTTAATGAGCAGGTGCATTCAGAAAGTACAAGAGGAGAACATCCTCCAACGACTGTGGATCCCGAAATCAGGAAAACACAGTGAAGACACGAGAGCAGGATTTACAAGCTTACATACGTCGTCACAAGCTTACCCCACTGTTTGTATGTCATTTTTTTGTTGAACCAGCGGCCTCCAGAAATGTGAGAACGAAACATTCAGGAAGTACCTTTTTCCTCCCTTTACACCTACACCTCCCGCACCTTCTTAAGTTGCCACGAGATCCTTCACAGTATCGTGTCGATTAGTCTGTGTGCGAAGAATAAGCCAACTCAGCTGGAGCCCAGAAATTCGAACGTCTTGTTCTATTTTTCACATACCGGCGTACCGCGAGTTTATCTGTCAACACCCCGCATCTTATATACGACCGGACTCTTTTGGGAATGGCTGGATTGGGATGCATCTTTCTGATTCCTTCGCTGCGGCACTGGTTGTGGCATTATGCTAGGATGGGGAATTGGAGGGGATGTTGATACATTGTCTTGTAGCTTCGAATGAATGGGATAGGGATCTGGGTATGGCTGGGTCGTTTGATCGGGATTAGCGTGTAATTATTTCAAATATTAATAATGGATCATATTCTTGAGATATTGCTTAGTATTGTGAATTATGTTCAGAAATCAACTCTGTCTCGTCTTATCTGTATCACGGGATGGCTAATTTTCTTCCACCCCGCTCCACGATTGTTATAATCTCACCTAGAATTGGCCATTCATTTCATAACACACTTCAGTTGAAACGAGAAATATTCTTACGATTGGATAGGTTAGTCTTGAAAGTGAGTATAACAATCTTGTATAAGAAAGTTCATATTGCTGCATTCTATATACTGTATTCTATAGTATAACAGACTATTATATAAGCAGTGTCATATCGTATTATATCATCCATGTCAACATCGATCATGTAGAACTTTGACTCCCTACGCTTCACAAAAGGCAATATGTGCCTCCAATCCCTCCTCAGCTTCAAACTCCAACTCGGTGCCTACTCCCACAAAGAATACATATCCTTCCTTCACCTCGAACTTCTCACCTCCCGCTTTCATAGTTCCTTCGCCACCAGTAACAACCATGATACTGGGCCCTCCCAGCTTCTCAATCGTTTCCTTATCTCCCTTCTGGAGCTCTAAGACTAACATGTCGAATTCGCTCATTGGTGGTGCTAGGACCTTGGTCTTGCCGTTCTTACCCTTAGAGCTTGATGTAGGCTTGAGTATACATTCATCCTTTCCGACGGGAGAAAATGTCAGCGCGGCGCTGAATAAATCGACAGAGTCGCGGTCAGCGCGGGGACAGAACCCGGTGTTTAAAACGTTATCGGAGCGTGCCATGCATTCTACGATGTCACCGGAGAGGTAGGCGTGGATACCGTCTGCGGGGACGTAGATGGCGTCGCCTTTTTGGAGGACGAGATAGTTCATTGTGAGGAGGGCGACGAGGTTGCCGGGGTCCGAGGTAGAGTATTGATCGGCGAGGCGAGGTAACAGAGAGGGAATGTATGGTGAAGTGGGGAATTTTGAGGATGGGGTGTCTTTGAGGGTGTTGTAGATGGATTGAATTTCCTCATCGGAGAGAGAGAGGATTTTGTGGACGATGGATTTCAATTTGTCTTTGTCGATGGTGTCGGATGAGGAAGAGAGGAATTTGGAGGTGAGAACTGGGATGCTGGTGAAGAGCGATTGGATATCAGAAAGAGGTTTCCATCCGACGAAAACCTCGAATTTGCCAAGGGCAACCGCAATTTCGGGTTTGTGGTTCGTGTCGCCGAACTTCTCGGGGTCTTGTTCATGAAGCTTAGCCGCAAGCTTCTTGTCCGGATGGATTTGAAGAGGTAAGGCTTTAGCTATTGAGAGGATCTGGAAGTATGAGGTTAGTATGAACATTTACATGTGAGTATGGTATAGAGAGAGAGGGGAAAATACCTTTGGTAAATATGGTAGATCTGCTCCAAATTTATCGAGTATTGGTTTCCCAATCAGCTTCTCCTTGTTGGCATTGAGATGCTCTTGTAAGTCTTTGCCGTTTGACAAGATGAGAGATGGTGTAGTCGGATAAGTTCCCATCCACATCTCTGCGTATTCTTTACTCTCATCAAGCTTGAATTTGCCTCCTGGAGTAGAAGCTGCATACTTTGCTGCTAAAGACTCTTTACCTTGACGACCCCATGGATAGTTGTTGCATTGGCACTCCAATTGGATGACTGATGAAGATTCTGACATTATGAATAGTTTTGTCTGAACTGAAGCGTATATTTTCTGTTTTGACACACAATTTCTGGAATATGCGGAATATGAAGCAAAAGAATAAACAATGGTAATAATGAGGTTGAAATATAGGAAAATTGATACCTACCAAGCTTTTAAAACGATTCCATACTCTATCTGGCGCCCCGGAGGTATGTCCTATACACTTACATAGATAATGACGTTGGATTTTGAGCTTTGTAAGTTCACTTGTTGTTACATCATAATACTTAATTTCTGTGGATGAAGAGGGTTCTGTATGTCCGGCGGACACGGATCGAAGAATCAATCAGATTACCATCGCTTGTCTTCTAGACCCCCACGGTGCCACTCTGACATTTTAGTGTGCATGTTCGAGGCATCATTGCATGTTGCATGGTACAAAAAGCTTGGGATTGACAGCACAGGGCATACCGAGCTCTATTAATAAAATTAATAAGAAGCTTAAAGAGCCTTATTTTGGAAGAAATGGCTGGACGCAATTGTGGAATCTTCTGATGAGATGAATGTACGAGCCAGAGATGTGGAATCGAAAAGTAGTTGTCCAGTATATAGATGTTTGTTTTGATGAGTATTGCCATCTCCTTCAGAGCTTCCCGGAGAGATTGAAACGAATATGTCGATGTCGATGTTGAAGTCGTCAGATGTTGATAGAATATTGGGTTCCCCCTAATCTATACGTAGAACGTCTCGTCAGATGAAGAAATCCGGAAACGTTCACGGGATATTTGAGGTAGGTATCATATAGGTATACTTTTCATCCCTTGGGTGGTTTGTAGAACAAAGAAGAGGAAAGAGAGGGATGAAATATAAATGATTTTATATATATTTAATCTTATTTTCTACTTCGTTATCTGTTATATCCATCAAAATTAAGATTCACAAGGGTTGAAAATTCGAAGTTTGATTACATCTCATCTGAGAGAGTGAGAGAGAGGAGAGGAGAGGAGGAGAGAGTTCAAAATTACCTAGTAATCATTTTCTTAAAAACTTCCACTCAACCTCAAGCCAAGAACAAATCTCCTTGAAATAACCTAATCTAATTTTCTTCCTACTTTCACAAGGACGGCAACGACACTTTCCTTCCTTCTCATCTCATTGTCCCATGAAGTTGACGTTGAAGCATTCTCTTTTGTGATTGATATACTACCTAGGTATTTTATTTTCTCGTAATAACCTTAATCTCGATTCCCCAAAGGACCCTGCCATCAACCTGGTATCTCCACTCATCGCGCCAAGTGTTCACCATAACGGTGAAATACTAAAGGACACAGCGCAACAATTTCAGCATCCTGTGCATCGCGATCAACTGCTATATAAAAAAAGTCCCGTACGACGTTGGGGCTACAATTATTGCCAAAAGCTGTAACGATTGTAGCAGGTGCCTAAGGGGTCCAGAACATACGACATAATGCATTTGGCATACCCCTCGAGGAAAGCCTCGAACCCTCCAGCATATTTCGCGCCACGGTCCTCACGTTTCCCAATGCTACGCAGAAGTAGGGCGAAGACGATAGTTCTAGGTGCCTGTGCCGTAGTGGTGGTATTCTTCATACTTTCACGTATACTTGGGGGAGCAAATGGCGTACCATCGGGAACTCCACCGGTTGTAATTGTCACAGTATTGGATACGGTGGGATATAGTAAAGAGTATCAGGACAGCGTAAAGGAAAATCGTATTCAATATGCCAGGAAACATGGTAAGCAGATGCTTTGCGAATGGCTACAACTTGCTGTTCTGGTTTTCAAGCAAGAATTGAATTGACAACTGTTAGGATATGCAACATTTTTCCCCAGTATTGGAGACTATGATATTCAAGGATCGCCGAATTCATGGTCCAAAGTGCCCGCAGCACGACACGCCTTATCAAAATTTCCACATAGCGAATACATTTGGGTTTTGGAGCAGAATGCTCTCATCATGAACCCTGCGCTGAAAGTCGAAGATCACATTATGGCTCCAAAGCGCTTGGAAAGTTTGATGATCAAAGATCAATCTATTGTGCCTCCGGACAGTGTTATCAAGACGTTTCCCAATTTGAAAGGCGAGAACGTTGATTTAGTTCTCACTCAGGATAAAGACGGTCTGTCGCAGGCTAGTTTTATTATCAGAAAGGGGGAATGGAGCAAATTCTTCCTCGACACATGGTTTGACCCTCTGTATCGTTCCTACAACTTTCAGAAAGCAGATCTTCATGCATTGGTAAGTGGACCCATGTTTTGTTGGGCAAGTTCAAATTCTTATAATAATTAGGAACACATCGTACAATGGCATCCAACGATCTTGTCGAAGTTGGCACTCGTGCCGCAGAAAATAATGAATGCATACAATTCGGATGAGGCGGAAGGGTATAAAGATGGAGACTTCGTTGTTCGATTACCTGGTTGCGACCAGTCAGGACGAGACTGTGGAAAAGAGGCCGAGAAATACACAAGGCAATGGCGGACTGTCTTTGCATCACGATGATCCAACCCTTTACTACGATAACCAAATCAAATCCTCATCATCAACATATAAGCATAGTTAGGGCTATAGAAGCCCTTATGATCTACGAATAGCGGGCAAGGCGTTTGCAGGCGTACAACACAAGAGCATGAAGCATAATTGTACAATACCAGCGATGACGTCTGTAGGAATATGGACATCGCTGATGCTGGCAGATGTAGTTTTCTTGGGGAAGCAAGACTTTGTCTTCTGTATATTATTTGAAGCATACATACCCCGGCAGTCAATGTACTGTATTTTCAATACTTGCGAAGTTTTCGATATAGTTTTGTGTTCTATAACGATTTCAATCTATGATGTAGGAGGCCATTGAAGTGTGTTGTTCTCGTCTGTAGCGTTGAATTAGCACCTCCAGCACCTAGTATATCCATGTAGCATTGCAAACATAATCATCTGATACGTATATCATCAAATACTCATAATGAAGAAATTTGACAGATCATGTCCACTTTTTAATGACGATAGATCATATATTAGATATCTTTGAACTCTCCAGAAATAAGTTTACAAGGGCAGACCTTAAATGGAGCATAAAGAAGCAAGCATGTGATGAGTAACATCCTCGGCATCTCCATCAATTGAATCAAGGAAAATGAAACCCCCGATGCAGACGACGACTTTTGGCCTTCTGCCTTTTATCTTACTCTCCCACCCCAACTTTTATCTTCCTTCTCACCACTCACCGACCATCCGTCCCGCAAGATGCCCGGCAGTTCGAGAATGCCCGTGAGCTTGCGCAATAGCTTCACCGTCAAAAAAGGTTCATCGAGTAGTAGCCAGTTACTGGCTCTAAACATTGATTTGTATGTACTTATTCTATGCTTCTGGACCCACCGTATATGCGATAAGCTATGCAATGTGCTTGCTTCTTGTGCCTGATGGAACAACCTTTGCTGATAATATTTCTGGTAATGCAGACTTCGAAATATCGTATTCTTTTTGTTCTTACTGAGATGGACAAGGAAGGGTCTTTTGAAATTGAAGGGAAGGGGGCTTTTTGGTAGTTTCGCAGACGCATATATCTCAATTCGCAGAACACTCTACGGATTATTCCTACGAGCACCCGGTGTACGATCTCAAGTACAAAAACAGGTCTCAGAAGCAATCACGAAATTACAAGACAAATTGGTGCCGACAGGTCCAGGCGTGGTAAGATATTTGACGCTGCCGAAGGAAGGATGGTCTGAAGAAACGGTTATGAAGGAATTGGAGATGTTGGCCAATATGGATCATACCAGATGGGAGGATGGATTTGTCTCGGGTGCTGTGTATCATGGAGGAGATTCTTTGATGAAGCTACAGACAGAGGCATTTGGAAAGTTTACAGTCGCGAATCCCATTCACCCAGATGTGTTCCCCGGAGTGAGGAAGATGGAGGCGGAAATAGTAGCGATGGTTTTGTCGATGTTTAATGCTCCTCCAGGAGCTGCCGGAGTTACAACTAGTGGCGGTACAGAGTCTATTTTGATGGCTTGCTTAAGTGCAAGACAGAAGGCTTATGCCGAGAGGGGTGTAAAGGAGCCGGAAATGTTAGTAGATCCATGGATATGCCGTTTGCACTTTTGTACTAACCAATATTCAGGATTCTGCCAGAAACGGCACACACAGCATTCCGCAAAGCAGGTCAATATTTCGGAATCAAAATTCATCTCGTCGCTTGTCCCGCTCCCTCTTATCAAGTCCATCTTCCAAGCGTATCTCGCCTTATCAATAGCAATACTGTTCTGCTTGTTGGATCCGCGCCCAACTTCCCTCATGGACTGATTGACGATATCACCGGTCTCTCCAAGCTCGCCGTCAAACGTAAAATCCCACTTCACGTCGATTGTTGTCTTGGATCATTCCTCGTCCCCTTCCTCGAGAAGGCTGGCTTTGAAACAGAACTCTTTGATTTCCGTCTCAAGGGTGTTACAAGTATTAGTTGCGATACTCACAAATATGGCTTTGCCCCTAAGGGCAACTCGACTGTTCTTTACCGCACTGCAGCCTTGAGAACTTACCAATACTTCATCTCTCCTGACTGGTCAGGTGGTGTATATGCCTCTCCATCGATTGCCGGATCTCGTCCAGGTGCTCTCATTGCTGGATGTTGGGCTTCACTTATGAGCGTTGGAGAAACTGGCTACATCAATTCTTGTAACGAGATTGTTGGAGCTACCAAAAAGATCATCGATGCCATAAACGAAAACCCATCTCTTAACGCCGATCTTCACGTACTCGGTAAACCACTTGTTTCTGTCGTAGCTTTCACGTCCAAGACACTCGATATTTATGACATTGCCGATGCTATGTCAGGAAAGGGATGGCATCTCAATTCGTTGCAGAACCCACCGGCTATACACGTAGCTGTGACCTTACCGATTGTAAAGGTGTGGGAGAAATTAGTCGAAGACTTGATAGCCGTTGTAGAAGGGGAGAAGGAGAAGGAGAGAGTCAGAATTGTGGAAGGTAAAGGAGCAAAGGGAAAGAGCTTGGGAGATTCAGCGGCCCTCTATGGAGTTGCAGGTAGTTTGCCAAATAAGAGCGTGGTGGTCGAATTGGCGAGTGGATTTTTGGATACTTTGTATAAAGCTTAGAAGGCTAGTATGGAATATGATGGTTGAGATTGAGGAAGTGGTGCATATCATCAACTATAAATTTGCAAATATGTGAGCGGGGTCTTTCAACACGCCTTTTTATAGGCTTTTCCAGGTAGCGTTTCTTTTTATACCTTAGTTTTACAATCTTATAGTTCATCTTTTCCACTCTTCACTCGCTTCATTGTGTCTTCGTCCCCTGCAAAAGCTCAATCTGAATGTAAAGTTCCTTCAGATAGTACCTAGGATGTCGTGAAGATTGATTTAAGCGAGTTGTATCAACTCTAATAATAGTCAAGGCTGGCTGTAATAACGATCAATGGAAGTTCAAGAAGTGTTTGATTTGATAATCGTAGGTTCTTATATCTCGCAATTTCAGACAAAGGCTATAAGTCATTAGAACGGAGTAACAGACTAGGTATATATACTATAATAAAACAAGTCAACCTTCACAGACAAAGAGTATACTGAGTCTCGAGCCAAGTACCTATCTTTCTCTACCCCTTGCGCTAGATGGGTCTTCTCGTCTAGCTCCGGAGTATATCCGCATCGATCCACTTCATCTACTTCCTTTGTTCCACTCCACATTCTTCCCATTATATACTCTCTTAACTTACCTCGCAATATCTAAAACGGGCTTGTGGTTTAGTGGTATAATGTTCCCTTAGCATGGGAGAGGTCCGGCGTTCGATTCGCCGCTAGTCCATTCACTTCAAATGATTCTTTTTTTTGAATTCGCTTTTTGATGTATTTTCGAAGAGGGGGATTTGAAGCTTTTGATATTTTTTCCATTAGGGGTGAAAATTTTCGCGAGGAATGAAGGTTGTTCCGTTCCGGTGCACGTGTGTTAACTTTTTTTTTCATAGCCGTACACATGCCGTGGGAGAAAAAAAAGGCTAAAATTGATGACCCCAATGAACTTTATAATAAATCAACCATCATTTATAAATTTATGAGAGTTATTAATGACACCAAATGTTCCCTTAGATGGAGTTCAGTACGACACTATATAAATTTTAATTGTTTGACTTGAAATAAATCTCAGCTTGGTTGCTCCACCAGTATAGTCAAGGTTGATTTTCGTTCTTTCCGAATCTGAACCTTGATTTGATAAGCTTAATGATACCACTTTTCTCTTTAAACCATCGACTGTTTTCATCTGCAGTATTCAAGATCAGGTTGCACGTACAAATAATCATTAGAACCCCGTGGGAAGGTGAATTCAGGTCGAGTGCCTGCTGGTTGGTAAGTATTAGTTGATCAGTATTTGTCAAATGCAGCTGAACGTCGTGCGAATGAAAGGCTCAATATTTGATCCTGTTCTATTCCCTCAACGGTCCGACTTCTTTTTGTTTATATTGCTCTTGTGTTTTGTACTTGGTGGTGGAAAATTCGTCAATTGTAAGCTGTTGTGTTTGTTCGTTGGTGGTTGCTATTCCTCTGGAGCCTGCAGGCCGACACGGTCTATGGCACTTCTCTCTGTTGAAAGTATATATGCAAGAGATTACAGAGAAGCGAGCCCAGGGGACACTGCGTGTATTCCATGGTAGTGCCCTTTAAAGTAACCGAGTTCCGTTTTCGCCAGTTCTCTCAGCTGTTCACGCATGATTTTTCCGCTCTGTACATTATCAGCTTTTGGTCTGATCTAGAGAGACGGCTGGTGCAATATTACCAAATTCCGCGGGATACTTGTAATGAACGAGATGCCTCCAGAAAGATACTTATATGGGCAATCTTATCGGCCATGAAATGATGAACTTCAGTAGCGGACAATGTTGATTCAGGGGCGGTTACAATATATGCACGTGGTCCTTCATCTTGGTATCTGTGTTCAATTGTTAATAGCCTCCAGATGGTAAGATACGATCGGCTCACACCGCAACGCCGGTGATTCCAGCATCCACAATTTTTGGATGACGAAGTAGCACGGCTTCCAGCTCAGTTGGTGCTACATGGTTTCCGTTCACTTTGATCAAGTCCTATCTTTCATATCAGTTCTCGCTGCAATTCTGCTTCAGTTGGGTTCATATTACTTTTTTACGATCCACAATATACCACATTCCATCTTCATCAACATATCCGACGTCTCCGGTAGAGAACCACCCATCGGCTCCATAAGCTTCACTGGTAGCCTCTGGATTACGATAATACCCCGTGCTAAGGCTAGGTGCACGGATCCAAATATCACCAATGGTATTACGGTTCACGATCCGACTACGCTCACTGGTATCTGTTACCTTGCCCTCAAAGTTGGCGTGGAGTTCCCCAACCGATTCAGACGGCGAGCAAGCCATCATATCATGACCAGTGATCAATCCAAGTCTAAAAACGACCATTCATTGATCAGCATCTACACTGTCAGTTTCTTTGATGGGAAAAAATTTCATACTCAGTCAATCCCCAGACTCGGGTAACTCTCCCGACGCCTATTTGCTCCAGTGTTGTTTTAGTTAGTTGTCCCATTGGAGCTGCAGATGCCTCCACTCTCCTCAAAGAATGCAGCTTTTCTTCAAGATTACAAGCAGGGGCTTTCGCAATTTCCGTAAGCATGGAACTCCTAATTATTGCGTCAGAAATCTCAAAAGTTTCCACGGCGTTCAAGATATCCTGCAAACTTGGCTGGCACAGGAGATATAGTGGAACTCCAAGCTTTGGGAAGATAACACTATAGGATCTTTGACCAAGGATGTGGTGCATTCCGAGCGCGCCTAAAACACGAATCTGATTGATACCCTTGCTTATATTTTTCATCGACTGCTGCCAGTCAGGATGGAGAGATACTCGCTGCATATAGCTTATGGCAGCTGAAATATAGTTGCGATGAGAAATCTCAACACCTTTTGGATGCCCGGTTGTACCTGATGTGAAGATTATGACAATTGTACTGTTGTAATCAAGTGAGGATTCAACATTGGGATACTCCCAGACCTTCTCGTCTATAGAGCCCACCATTTCCTGCCAGTGAGGTACATTGAGGAATGATCTACCCGTGCTATCAAGAATGTCATCATCAAAAATAAAAATGGATTTCCTCTCTAAGGCTGGGCAAGTAACTTTATGTTCAGCCTCCGACAGGATATCCAGATGCGCCCGTTGAGTCAAAATTACCGAGGGCTTCGCAACTGTGAGTAGCCTTTCCAATTCTGAATGTCCGTAACTAGGCTGTCCAGGCACAAAAATACAGCCCGCCATGATGGTGCCCATCAAAAGAGCCGGGTATGTTATTGCATTACCTGAAAGACATAGAATTATATCCTTTGATTGGACCCCTAGTCGTCTCAAACCCACTGCAATGCGAACAGAGAGATCACGGTATTCTGCTAAGCACAAAGATCGGTCATCTGGGCGGAGCGTATCGATAATCAACTTCCTTGAGCCGAGATTTTCATGCGGAGCACCAAACACAAAATATGGCAGGGAGCTAAAAGGAATGGGGGCAGTCCATCTCGAAGTGACCAGCGATGGTTGATTCAAGCATTGCATTTTGATGAACAAATGAATTTGGAAAGGCAGATTTTAGCAGATCGAGATGAAAGAGATGTTCAGCTCCTTATGTTCTCTTGCGTCCTAAGTTGCATTTTAAATCTTCTCGGAAGCTGAAAGCTGAAATGGCGAGTCATGCGATTATTTCCATCGTATTTTCATCCGATATTCAAATTATAGATTTCAATCAATAACTTCTGAAATCAAATTACTGTAGATGAAGAAATCGTTTTGAACAAAAACCCCGCATGACACGTCATTCATGGCTTGTGAAGCAATTTTCAATGTCCCGATCCGGATTTGACAAACGAATCAGCTACTCGTAATACTTACTGACTGAAATTCTGACGAGTTCTTCAGGAAAATGGAGCTGAACTAATTTAGTTTGAATTTCAATGCCAAGTCGATTTCAGATAGGAATCTTATCAAAAGTTTCAATACTGGTAAAATATTAGATCAGATTTGGTAGTCTTTTTCAGAGTTGTTCCCTTCCATAGATCCGAAAGTTATATCATTAATTCAATATCCTACATAAATTTTCGTCTATTTCATTTATGTTGTCATGCCCTGGTCAGAAATTTCACCGAGTACGTAGTTGTCGAGATCTCGTGAGTCATGTCGCTTTTCAACATCATAATGAGAGCTGAAAACCAATTTTTTTTGGGTTACCGTTAGACAAGTGAACCTATCCAATAAGACATCTCTTTAGCAACCGTGAGATGTCGTGCTACAGTTATAGGTCGGGTGGGCGAAATCGTTCATTGCACTACTGAACTGCGGCTAATCGATTTGAGTTAGGGCTGATTTGAATAGACGCAACATTTCATGTGAGCTGATCTAATATGATATTGTTCAAAAATTTGAACTAAATTTTATTTCCGTTATAAGTATGTGACAGGTATCGAAATCGCAACTATGCCTAAGTATCTCGGTGAGGGTCGAAGATAGTAAATCGTACTGCTTTTGGTAGCTTAATATCAGATGTATTTGGCTTCGCGTATGATTCTACCTCGCGTATAAGTTTCCAATGTAGAGCTGTCAGTATAATCTAGCCTTTTCAAAACTAGACATATGTGACATTTCGTGTTATTTTACACAAAAGCAAAACGACCATAAAATAACACCCGCGGATGCGGCTAAGCTAGACGCAGATCTCTTTCAATCGTTCATGTGGTCTGCAGGTTTAATCCACCTTCAACAATTTTTGCAGAAAACATGTCTTCTGCAATTATTTTACCACATAATGACTTGGGGTGTGGCGAGCTATGGTTAAATTCCTGACATACGTACCCGCAGCACTAACAAGATCTTCGACGCTTGTATTCAGCTGTGCTACCCACTTGTGTGTTACAAGATAAATAATAAATAGGGCGTATTCGCTGTCTCAAGTCTATAACGCAGGAAAAATGTCTTCAGTTTCGCTCGTAACGCAACTTGATCCTCTTATCCAAATTGATGCGTTGCAATCATCAAAACCGCTCTATCATGTTTGTGTTCAAACTTCCTGACTATCGTCAAAGCTGACAAATAACTAGGATGCCCTCCATCATCTTAACACTCTGCGCACAAACTTCGAGTCACAACAACACATGATGAGAGTTCAAGATCGAAGCATTCTTTTGAAGCAAATGGAAGAGTGGTGTGAAGGAATAGGATATCAGGTGATGCCCCTCGTTTCCTTGCTATCATCTGATGGAACTAGAGCTAACAATGAGACACACAACTAGCCTGCTGACTTCGATGTGTTAAACGCAATTCACATTGCCGGATCTAAAGGTAAGGGTTCCACGGCATCATTTATCTTCTCGATATTATCCGAATATTTAAGCGATGGATGTGACCCTGGAGAGAAAAGACCAGCTTCCTTGAGAAAAATTGGGATGCATACATCGCCGCATATGCGTACTGTGCGAGAGCGTATTCGAATTCGACAGTCACAGTCAACGGCTTTCACCGATACCCCTCTTGAAGAAAAGAAATTTGTGCAGTATTCTTCAGAGATATGGGATCGCTTGGATTTAGATAGCCGAGAACCCACTCAGAGTCCACCATTTGGGAAATTTGTCACAATGATGAGTCTCCATACATTTATGCAAGAGAAAGTTGATACGGCCGTGATAGAAGTCGGTATTGGGGGACGCCATGACTCAACCAATATCCTCCGTCAACCTAGTGTCTGCGCTATAACTAGTTTGGGAATAGAGCATACCGATCTACTTGGTTCCACGATAGAGGATATTGCATGGGCTAAGGGAGGTATCATGAAAAAAGGAGTTCCTGTGTTTACGGCGTCACAAGAACCAGCAGCCATGGCTGTTTTGGAAGCTGTAGCAGTTAATGAAGGCGCAGATCTACATGTCGTTACGCCACATCCAGATCTTGAGTCCATCGAGCTTGGTCTTCAAGGTGATTTCCAACGCATAAATGCTAGCTTGGCGGTGGCAGTAGTCGCAAAGCATCTTTCCCGCATGGGATTTAGTGGTATTACAGACACAGCGACATTAATGCGGTCTCCACTACCCGAGAAGTTTCGTCGGGGTCTGGAAAAAGCACAATGGCCCGGGCGATGTGAGACGCGGCACAATCACGGAATCCGTTGGCTACTGGACGGTGCTCATACCTTAGAAAGTATTGGAGTTTTGGGGCCTTGGGTAGTCAAAAACATGACAGCACAGAAACAAGCTCGGCGTGTTCTTATATTTAATCAACAAATCAAGGATGCAAAGGCGCTACTCCATCATCTTTGGCAGGTCATGACGTCATCGTCTTCGCAGTTCGCTTGTGGGGAGCCGCTTTTTCATCAAGCGATCTTTTGTACAAATACTCTGTGGGAAGGGAATTCAGCTCCCGATATTGAACGTGTCTCTATGACATACTCAGGAGGTTCGATTCAAGATCTTAAAGTACAACATGAATCGGCAACGTACTGGGCTGAGATTAGTGGAGGAGAATCCGCAGTGACCGTTGTACGGACTGTCGAAGAGGCTATTCGATGTGCAGCTCATGGTTATGGTGATAACAATTGTGAAAGAAAATATGGTGATGAAGCGGTAGTGTTGATTACTGGAAGTCTTCATCTAGTGGGAGGTGCTCTGGAGTTCTTGGATACGTTTACTTGATTAGAAAATTACATAATCCGATTTTAGTGAGCTAAAGGAACATGGCTATAGAGTGCCTTTGGCGCCCTCTTTGATACTTATTAGACGTTGTGCAGGATAAATCAGCAAGCACTTTTTGAACAAAACTTCTCTGCCGTGTGATAATAATACCGTCACTGTTGGTTTGAGAAGGATACGGATGATGTAGCATCTACTATTGTAGGTCCTAAATATATATATCATACTTTGCCTAAAGAGATAGCTATATAAAGGGAATAGTAGTCCTTCCAAGGTTATTGTTGGTATCACCTCGGTTGTGATTATCATGTTTTCATAATAGGTATGCTGTATTTATTGATATTATGTCTCCTCTATTCTAAGTTCTAGAGCTATGAAAGCTATATGCAATACGTGCGTACGCTAGTGAGCTAGCGCTCACGTGCGTATATTCACTCGTATCGCAACAGTTATATGAAGGATACCAGAAAGAGCTAGTCTCTTTCGTATTAGTTTAGGGCTATAATACAGTAGCTATTGAATTTAAGTTACTCACTACACTCATATAGTCATAGTCGTCCGGAATATTTTTGAAAGCACCCTGGAAACATATTAAGCCTGAGGTAGGGTTTGTACTAGATCACTGTAGTATAACGGTGGCTCCTAATGAGCCTTTTTAATGCTATAGTTCGTAAATATGAAGAAGGAGGCTATAGACATTCAATACATCGAATCTTTTTAGGAATATGTGGACAATTGGGAATTCGATTAGAAATGCCCATTTTGATTCCGAAATGGACTAGGAATGCTCATTCCAGATTTAATTCCTGTATTCTAGTGATTTCTGGTGGTATTCAACATTGAAGTAGTATTGAATAGGCATCATTGGTGATATGTAGATCGACATTATCTATGTAAATTTTATCAAAAAAATCGATACATCCACTATACGAAACAACGTACGGAATACGAGTAACAATATTAAGAGCACTGGCTTGAGGCATAATGGAATAACATAAGTTCATTTCAGAAACTTTTAACAGTCTCAAAAATTTGGTTGTAGCATTAAGACACGCGCTTTACCTCCTCGTCGCCCTCCATCCTACTTACCTACTAGAGCACAATTTTCCAAAGCATGAATGAGCATTCACAATCCTACTCACTGAGCCCAAATTCTTCCTCCCACATTTCTCCTCCTTCACCTACCTATGAATCACTGAAGCATTCTCGCCTTGCCAGCCACGTTTCTTTCAGTCTACCGCCAAAACTGAAAGACAAAAACATACAACAGTAGGGATTCGCTGGTGGTCACCCACCCAACTACTAATCTACCGATCTGAGGCTTGTGTATGGCAGAGCGGACGGGATGCCCAATTCTCCTCAGTCTATGGTCGTATGTGTCGAAGTAATAAAGATATATGGTTATATATCACGTTATTTCAGGTTGAATACGGGTTATGAAGGATTTCGTTGAACAGATTGGCTGTTCAAGGATTTTAAATGCGATGGGAGTCTTGAAGGAAAAGTATATTGTTATAAAATAGGCAAATGCGTGATATTCGTATGCACATAAAAATCGATTTTCATGTTACAAACTCTTCCTAACCACGGAGTATCTTCAAACACTCCATACCGAGCTTACCCTGCAATGAGATTTGCCAAATAGAGAAATATCACCATAAAACCGAAGAGGGACCTCACCACTAGATTACATAAATTGGTATATTCCAGTAAGCGTATACCTTAAAAGACAACCCCACTCACACAAATCTTTTTTGCGCAGCCCATTCAGCGCTTTCGACTTAGATGTGAACAATTCGAAACCAATTCCGTAATACAGAGTACTACATACATGCTTTCCTTAAGTATCAGATTGTCGAGTTTGCCAGCCCGCCAGCCTGTACAGTAATAGTGCAAATCCTTGTAGCGATATAGATCCGAGGAAACAGAATAGACTTTAGGATAGAGCACAACATGATGGAGGCGACTAAAGTAAACGTTATAAGAGGCGATGATGATATCAATGGTGTCGCTATTTCGCTTGAGAGTTGAAAGTGGAAAGGTTGGTCATGCAAGATGTTAGTATCGATTATAGTGTTATTGTAGTATTTGATATTTACGATATTATATTAAGGAGTGGAAGAAGACAATGGTATATATCTTCTCAGAAACGGGAGTTTTGAGATTCGGTACAGCACTAGATATTCGTAGCACCTATTGTCGAAGGTGCGGAGCAAGCAACGATAGCGGAGAGACCAAAGAGAAGAGAGACGAAGTCTAGATAATCCCCAACATCGAACCAAAACACCAAGCAACCCCTACCCTCTCGCTCCTCGCTACAGACTACGAGATTCAATCCTGTGTAGGAATAGCCCATACATGATACATCTCAATCATTCCCAGCATGGCAGATATTCCACAGAATATCACATCGACTATCTCTCTTTTCTGTGTATATTACACTACTCGAGCTGATATTATACAAAATAAAGATACACCAAATTGACAGCTACAAGAATTGATAAATAGAATACTCAATGGCTTTGAAGAGTATTGTCATAGAACACAGATAATATTCTATGAACACTCTTCAACTTCTTGATCCATTCGTGTCGTTACCGCATTCCGAGACACGAGAATCTTTACATAAACACTACAGTCCATAATAGCGATCACTAGAAGATAGATTTATATATCCAATCAACTATTTCAAGGTAAACAATAACAAGAAACGCAATCCATCCAAACCCATCAGATCATTATTCGCTTCACTAAATTTCGGCCCCCTCCGCCCCCTTGATTAGTTCACCGAGCGCCAAGTCCATACAAACGAATGAGGCTGTGTATTATTCTCCACACACACTTAGAGCCCTATCGTCAAGATACCAAGTATGATTGGAAGAGAATCTCATGTTACACTACACGATGAAAGGTACCGCAACGAAAATTTAGAGGATTGGTGTGCTTCTAGAAGGTCTGACGTGTGAAGTCTGTGCATAAGGTTAAATGCGTGGCCGGGTTAAAACCCTAGATAAGTAGGCTAGGCTCGGGCAAAAAAGCCAGCCCGTTATATTTTGTAAAACTGAGAATAAGAAGCTCTGATAATCTGTAGACCCGATATCACTCAGCACGATCGTCATTTGTCAGTTGAGTATGGCTGGAAAGGCCATAATTTGGGAGGTTACGATGGCTTCAAAATGTCCACTTCGGGTGGCATGATGACAAGGGCTCTACCGCTAATACAGTATGTAAGGCTGTCGCTGTTCGCCCTACAACATAAGCTTCCCAAAAAATATTTCCCATGCATGGTTATTTGACGATCTAATCTATCCCAACACGTAGGTATGATTTTGAGTGGCTGGGATACTTTCCCAGGTAGGATATCGGAATGCACGACTTCCTGGACAGCGTTCAATATATCTCATTCATCTGCCTAGAAGGATGACAAGATGACATCCGATCGAACTATTTCCCATAGAATATCTTACCATTTATAGACACCGAAGAATGCTTAGCCCCACAAATATATGCACGATTGGCAAAAGACAAAAATTGCTGGTGAAGTCTATTTATTCATAACGACATCAACATAACTCATGAGAAGTGTTGTTTATCATCATAATCCAAAACGTATAGCATATAAACATATGCACCCCCGGGGAACAAAGAAAGAAGAGAAGGAAGAAAGAAACACATTTGGGTATAGAAATCGTTCAAGAGGCTTTTCGTTTCGACCATGATCCAGCATCGCGAAATTTGAAAATCTCAAAAGGGACAAAACAAAACTACCGATAAAACTCCAATGCTGCGCAATCAAAAAAGGTCATTGGTTGGTCCCACTCGGTGTCCTATTGGGTCAAGGTTACCGTGCTTAGGCAACGAGCAGATACGCCCTGTCGAAGAGGCGAACGGTGAGCGCCTGTGTTCCTGCATCAAAAAGGGAACCCGCATATGAATTCACTCATTCGGCGAGAGAACATTCAAATAACACAAAGTACGAAGAGCTCAGAACAACTGGAGAAATAAGTGGCAAAGTTCGCCCTCCGCACAGCCACAGAACGTTCGGGATCGCAAATATAAGAACGCATAGGTTCCCAAATATTCTCTCGGGATTGGAAGGACAGTCCTTTGCATATGTGTAGAAAGCTAGAGAATTCGAGTGTATTCTGAATGCTCGATCGCTACTGGCATATGCTTCCTTGGAAAAGTTGAGCTCTGTCTTTCTGTCCCTTTGTGTGCATGACGCGAACGTTTGCGATATCGCTCTTCCTTCTGCAGATCGCATGGAACTTTGGACTCTCTATCCCGCTTGAGTATTGATTCAGGCGTCTCAAATCCTTTCCGTACGAGACTCGGTACTGATGGACGTTCGGTATATTGTACAGCCAAAATGTAATCCGCTTTATCCATCAGATTATTCCTCCGCAAATATTCTATTACTAGGAAGTCTGGCCGAATGTTTGTTTTTCCATCAAGGAAATGATCACGACTATGCATCATTCTATCCCGCCAATTACTATGCGAATCGTTGGTGTCTTCGAATTCCTCATCACAGAAAAGGCACAAGCATCTCGATGGAGGAGCAAGGTGTTTGAAATGCGTTAGACTATGCGCAAGCCAGTTTTCGAAATCATCTGGACGGAATGTTACTCCACAATCTATCGATATGAATTCGCATGGAAGGACGATGGTAGTGTTGATTTGGGAGATTTGAGGTATTGGGAGGTTCCATCCAGCTACAGGATTGGATTGAATGGATTGTCGACTGGTAGCTGTTGTGTATGACCCTCGAGACTGCATGCTAAAAACACTTTCGTCGTTCTCGCTATAGGGCGATACGGTTGATGTGGAATCTTGGCTGATAGTTGAGCATGTTGAGGCATCGTACGCTTCATTTGCGAATTGTCGGGGAAGACGATGCTTACTTGAGAGGAGACCTGCGAAAGGATCTTCGGAGTCATTGAGGTAGCGGCCAATGGGTGCATCATCGTAAGTTGCCATCTTATATCAAGGTTTGCAGGTCAAGAAGTAACCTTCCCAACTGGTCACTTTGATGATAATGATCAAGGTTCTTCGATACAAATGATGGATTTGATGGATAAGGTTGACAGTGAAGGGAAAGGTGGAGCGTCGATAAGATAAGAACAGGCTTGTCGATCACTGGAAACAAACGAATGAACCCCTAAATTACATGACGAGTGTCAGGATCGAGGGCTTAAGACGATGAGAACGACGAGAAATAAAGGTTATGGGAGTAGCTTTTCATGTTCAAATAAAAAGCCGACATATACTGACCTGGAACTGGTAGTCTGATCTGAAGTTTGGTTATTTTGAGTGGTAGTTATCGCTTTAGATAATTATGCTAGGGATTGATAATGTTTCGCGATATTTGCGGGGAAATGTTGGGAATTGACTTTAACAAGCTCGGAAGAAGCTCTAACCAAGTGGCGTGGAGGTTTTATGGTTCCGGTTCTCTTCCCCAGATTTTGGTGCAACAAACGGCTGCTGGTCTTTTACGAAAAATAATCAACAACGAACAACTAAAATTGGCAACCCGAATCCGACAATTGAGGTATCGCTTTTATCGTTCGGGGGAATGAAGAAGTAAGGTATAGACGATATTTGGTCAAGTCGCTGACCACAGCAAATTGAAGGCGGAGGGAACACAAGTTATTAAAGAAGCAAGTCGAAATCTTGATCCCACCCACGTAAATATCTCTCTAGCATGGAGGCTCAAACTTCATGGACTTCCTTCGGGGCATTTCTCTCTTTCCGAAATTTCTTGCATCGCTTCTTTTCTTCTACGTCCTCTTACGGACAGAAAACAAATCGTTTTCCAGTAGAACCGTCACCTATTCGTCACTTTGCGAGCAAAGGTTCCATCGGCCCTTAAAGCTACAACACATCCGCATCCCACATCCCACGCTCCCATCCAAGGATAACATGGATCTTGGGATTGTTACACATCAATCCTGTAAGCAAAAGCGTATGCATACATACTTCGAACTCTCACCCAAACAAATGGATCATGCGAATTTGAATTACTGGAGCGATGTGATGTGATGGCATGCGACGCATTGCTCTTGCATTTGCTGCGTGTAGCTACCCGACCATCCTACAAATCTAGTGGTTCTTGAAAAAGGGTTCCACGATAGCTATCGATCAGTTCACCCACGCAACCCCACACCGCTTCTTGATTGCGCATTCACACTATGGAATGGGCATAACTCATACGAAAACCATGCTGTTGAGGAGGTGAGGGAAAATTGTTTCATGGAGATGCGGGATCATCAGACCACGACCAATTCAAACGAGCTACGGCAGCACATTCTCAACGTTCCTATTCGACGTTTATGTATACTCGGTCAACCTAGCATGGCTTTTGACTCATATTCAAGCGGCATCTATTCCATACCCCAATCGTTTGCCTATCATTAAAGCCAACCGGATTTAAGGAGTTCTGTCTAATGCTAACATGGTCGCTGGCTTCTATCTTTACTCCAAATACAAGAGGCTTCTGTTGTGACATGCCTTCCTTGCCACCATCGATATATGAACCCTAAATGAGTTCATACGTTATCGCCAAGATTTATTTCCAATGCACTGCTTTTCGAGGCAGCATACGACATCTGCAGTACGCGCTGCAATCTCTTGATTTGGGTCTCAAGAGACAACGATAGCAGCCAAATTGATGACCCGGAGCACTGCTCGGGAAGAACACAAATTTGGTATCAAGGCCATCGTCAATCATAAATCTAAAACATTGACGCAAACACATACGCCATATGTACAGTTGTGGGTAACTTCCAAGCATATACATTGAAAATTGGTTATCCTCGCATGGCTCGTTCCCTAACCCCACACTTACCAATGATTTTGAAGGATACAGGTTGCTTAGTGAGCAACAGAGCCTCAATGACCCCGCTTTCAGATTCGAGCTATGATGGAAATTGGAAATATTACTTGGTTGCATGTGAAGACGACGATCTTCGACGTTTAATCACGGTATCTGGTATTATGTGTGATCCTATATTGGGTACACGTATACATGCACAAGTATGCATGTTTGTTTGTTGGAATTGTCACAACTCTCCCAATATATCTGTTGGATTATAATCTGAAGATATAGCCCAACCTATCACCCAAGACTCTCCATGCCCATTGCATGACGGCATGAGTCACATGGCGGCGTAGCAGAGATTAATTCTCCACCCTCTTCCATGGGTATCTTTTCATATGTAATCGGTCATAAAGATGTGACTTTTTTCCTTAGCCATCAGTCAGGAGCGCAAAGCACCTTCATCTTCGCAACAACATTCACCAAATGGTTTCGTTCCCCGTTTTCATCCCCTGCCTTCATGATTCCAGGAAACGTCACGCAGCTAATTTCCCGCTCGTTCAAAGTATCTTCATCCTCTCCCCCAATATCTTCCATTCTCTCCTCGTCAAACTTCGTTTGTTGATGTTCCTCAATTATGGGCATCATTATACTAAACACTGCCTTTTGAACTCGCAGTAATCGTGAAAGATTAATAGCGGCATTAATTATGGTTTTTAGCGATTGGTCTCTAGCTTCAGTACTTTGAACATCAAATATTGGATCCAGCAAACTATTGAGTTGCGCAACAACGGTATTGACAACAGTGGTGGTCTCCGATTTAAGCTTTTCAGGAGCTTCTTTCAACAGAATCCCGAGCGTCGTAGATCGCCATTGATTCATTGCATCTTCGGGACCTTTACATTTCGATCAGTTCTTCTCACTTCGACTAACGATCAGATGGTTTTGCTCACCATAAGAACCTAAAGTCATTTCCGTTCTCGCAATTTCCATGGCTTGCTGCTCTGGAAGACCAACAAAATATGCTTGGAAGATATCAAACACTAATATAGTTGATACAAGGGATTGTATGAAGTTGATTTTAGATGATGTTGCTAGACGCTGATACATGGGTACCCAATGCTCCAACTGTTGCCGCGCCTCATGTGAACCCTTTTCTAAATCTGTTACAAGTCAGCTTAGTTTAACACGGTACTTTACCACATTTGTCAATAGAAGTACAATATTCACACATTTTCCTGCTCAACATGCGCTCAGAAATTTCTCCCAACATAACCGTGTCAAAATAAAGCTCCAAACGTACCAATTCTCCCCCTCCTGAAATTCGATATCACCCAATTCTGCAACGCATTCCCGATCCACTGCATCTTCTCTGCAACCACCTCATCTGTAACCTGTTCCCCTCCTACCCCACCCCGTCCACTACTACTCACCCACTCCTTCAATCCCCTCACCTGACCCCTCAACGCCATAATCTCCTCATCTTTCCGCCTCATCTCTCCCATCGTATCAGTATACGCTTCGCGAAACGCATCCCGATCCAACATCAATGCACCCACACGACTCTGCACCTCAGCCGCACTGGGACAATTCGCATGCGCGGATCGGAGGAGGCGCAACTGGGAATCGGTGGCTAGGTAATTGGTGTGGAGGGTAGAATGCGCAGTTTGTAGAAGATGGAGGGTTTCGCGCGTGTGGAGGAGTGTGGTAGTTAGGTTGTGGATTTGGGAGTCTGGAGGGAGGGGTTCTTCTTCTTCTTCTTCCGACTCTGATTCTTCGTCGGAGGTGGAGGAGTGAGGATGGGGGGGGTAGTCTTCTTCGTCGTAAGGATCGTAGGAGGGGGGAGAGGGAGTGTTGGAGCGTGAGCGTGAGCGCGATCGAGAATGTGAATGGAAATGGGTGGTTGGAATGGGTCTGTTACTTCTTTGGGGATCGGCGGCTGAATGAGTGGTCGATTGCAGACTAGAGTGCGAGAGTCGAGCGCGTGGTGGTGCGGTTGTTTCCGCCAAGGAAGATTGCGATTGCGATTGCGATGTTGTAGAAGTACAAGGGAAGGAATCGTAATCTCCGCCTTGCGAGTTCGTATTTGTAGACCTGGATCCAGATCCAGATCCAGAGATAGAGATGGAAGTGGATGCAGTGCGATGCGCAAGCGAATGCGCAAGATCGATTCGAGAAGATGAGTACTTCGGCGCGTGTTTCTTTTCTCTAGCGCTCATTTTGGCGGGTTGTCGTTGGGGAGGATGGAATCCACCTTTTATAGATGAATGAATGGATAGATGGGTAAATGGGAATCGATGAATGAGACTTGGTGTACCTCGTGGACAGGTACAGTGTTATACAAATACCTTAAATTTCGTATGGAGTTTTAATCAGATATCTAGATCCGCAGCTAGATGGATGCCTGCAGGTGTGAGAGCTGAGATGGTGAGAAAAGGTAGGTAGCTCCGTGTATCGCGTAAGTGGGATTTTTCAATCTTTCCCTCTTCACAGAAAACTAGTACATTCGCAAAAGATGAGATAGAAATGAAGAGGGCATATTGAGAATTAGATACCTGGTGAGTAGGTGGATAAATAGGTAAAGAACAACTCAAACCCAAATACCCTTTGCTTCTCAACAATCCTCGATAAAATCAAATACAATAATCTCTTTCTGAAAAGAAGATAATGAAGAAGAAGAAGAAGAACCTCTTCCAAAAAAGCAAACCCACGAAAAATTAAACAAACAAACAAACCAAATCACCCAAAAAGGAAATCCCGAAACGAAATGAATCCTCCCCCCTACCTTACCCACGGGGCAAAGAGAAACAAATGAATATTCATGTGGTGGAGAGAATTCATTCAGATTGCTCAAATGAAGGAAGATGAGAGGTTCTTATTCTGCTGCCTGGAAGTATGAGATGCGATGAGGGATGGATGGATGGATGCATTAATTTCCTGGGTAGATGTAGGTGATTAATTGTGCTTTGTATTATTTGTTAAGCGCTAGGTGCTAGGTTAGTAGGTTGGTTAGTGAGATCGACTATAGGTGAGATTGATTATGAGGTGAGGGGTTGACGGGAGATCTGCAGTGTGAGTGAGTTTTGTTTTGTGGTGGGTGGTAATGGGTGTGGATGAATTGATATCGGGATCTTGATTATTGAGTATATATATGTATATACCT